TTTCCCTATCAAAAACAGGAGAAAAATGCATTTGAAATCCAGTGGTAGATAATGCTGTGTGGAAGCATTTTAGAGCATTTTAGAGCAAGAAAACTGAGGGCCTGGGCAAACAGAAGTCACACCGGTCTAGTAGACAGTATATGTGAACACCACAGTGCTTTGCATAGCACTCAAGACAGAGAAAGTAATGCCTTCAATCTAATTTTACTAATAATTCCTGAAAAATGGAGCAGTAGCATTTTATGGCCAATGTTTAATGTAATTAAATGTTCGGTACTACTACTTCCTCTCTCTTAAGACTGGAAAAAGGCTACACACAACAGGTTACAGCAAAGCACAAGAACTTATAACAGCATGACTTCACATAACTTCTTAGACATACAACTTGATAGTGTTTTGTGTAATATAACTCACATTTTCTGAAGCTCAACTGCAACCATGGGTGCTTCTGATTTATATCGGGGCTGTGCAGGGAGAGGAGATTAAACACTTCTATCCCTGTATGGTTTTGCTAATTGAAACTGCCCTCCCTGCACTGCTTTTAGCTCATCTTTCTTTGCAGAGCTCATAATTTAGCAGGTGCGTGCATCTGTTGTGATAGGCAAAACTATGTAGTGATGAAAGAATTAAATCTACTATCTCAATCGGGGCCACACATGGTTGCAATTTAGCATTAAAAATCTCTCTAGATGAATGCTGTCAGAATTCTGTGACATTAAATGCATGCTGTCTATACTCCAAACACAGAGACTAGCAGTGGGGAAGCACCCCAGAAATCTCTTTTTTTCAACAGAAACCAGAGGCATGAACATTGCCTCAGACTGGGAGCTTGTGACCTGAGATATGACAGGAATGTGGGATGTGACTGTGATACATTCTGGTCAATTTGGTATGGGGGGGGAGAACCCCCCCCTTTTGTTTTACATCTCAAGGACTATAAGTACTGAGTGATAAAAAGGATCCACAGCAGGAAAGGTCAATTAACACACTGGAAGGCAGCAGGAAGACATCAACACAGGCTCCTTTGAAACTTCCCTGAACTCCTCACACCTCTTGGCTCATATACAATGACCTAGATTTGCACTTCAAAAGAAGATGGTGTAAGGTCCCCTCCATGCTTGAGAGGAGATAAATGGAGCGTAATGGCAGGGTCTCAGTTCATTACTCTCAGCATTCCACAATTAAGGATACGTCTGCCCATCCATCTCCAAGTCTGACATATTTATTTCCCTCACTATGCCCCCCCAAACCCAAACTAATGGTAACTATATAAACTAAGCTAGTTCCGGTTTGGTCCTTGCATCTGTTAAACATCTTCATTATGCTGTATGCTAATTTACTGTTCACCCTCTACACACACACATGAATGAACTAGTAATTTCCATTTCATTGTATCTGAAGAAGTGTGCATGCACATGGAAGCTTATACCACAAATAAAACTGTGTTGGTCTTCAAGGTGCCACTGGACTCAAACTTTATTCTGCTGCTTCAGGCCAAAAAGGCTACCCACCTGAATCTAGTTTTGTAAGTTAAAACAATTAAAATCATTTGTATCTCACCTGCAAATGCAATTATAGACAGCACAATTATCTGCCTGATAAGGGCATTACCTCCTCTCCTGAGCATTAATCACCCATTAAGCCACCGCTTAAGTTCTATTAAGACCCATTAAGTCAAAACGTGCCTCAGGTTTCCTCATAAATATTCAGGTACTCCTTTCTACATAGTTCAGCAAAATTAGCCTGGATCCTGATCCCTGTACCCATAGGGTCTCAGGTCCTCAACTTGCATCAAATAGAGTAAAGCCTGAATCCATCAATGGACACCTCAGTTTTACTCCTTGGTCCAACAGGGTTTCAAATGCCAAATACGACCAATGGCCAGGCTTCACCACTGAAGCCCAGATGAACTCAGGTCCATAAACAGTGTACCAGGCCACTCAAATGGTGTAAACGAATTCCAGACATCTTTCACTGCTACAATACAACACTAAAACCTCTCTCATTGGCAAAGCTCCATCCCATTTCCCCCACCAAACCTTTTGATCTCATGCTTGGCGACCTATCTCCTTTCTCTAGGATGGACTGTTCTGGAATAGCCTTGTGGAAGGAACACAACTTGCTACAATGTAATATTAACTGGGTGTTTTTATTCATTGGGGAATTCCTGGAACTAGGAGTGCTCCCTGGGCTCCAGACCCCACCAGAGTTCAATTTGGGCTGGAAGGAGACTGGCTAGGGATCATAGCCCTCCAAGATAGAGAGAGAGAAGAGACAGCTGTGCCACACTAGAACTATTTATTGAACTTCAGAAAGCATGCAGGAGAAATATCTTAAGGCCAGAAAAAAACCACCCAGTACCTCAGTGGGCACTACTGAATACAAATAAGAGGAATATATATTCTGTCTGCACACTAAGACCCACAGAGAATCCCTGGGGGTAGTTGGCGTCCAGCTACCAACAAAGAAAATACCCCCAAAATATACCTGTGCTGCCTACAGAACCAAATAGAGATGTTAGTTGGGAATGTGACGAGCTTGACAAGATCCAGCCCGTCCGTCATACGTTGCCAGTATGATCTTTGCCTAAAGTTATTCTATTATCCATGAGGTCAAGTGTTCCTTGACAGGTTCTTTATCAAAGATAAGGAGCTAAGGGGCCTCTCAAGTAGATAATCTGTAAATTTAGACTAGAGTCTGGTACACTTCCTCTCTTGGAATGTAAACTATGCACATACGTGAAGGGCATAGGTAAGGCAACACTTATTTTGGAGAATATCATATCAGCCAGGCTGCAAGGACTTGTGGGCTATTGAACCAAAGACTGAATGTGAAACCCAATTCAAGATGGTGCTAAGAAAGGCCTAGTCTCAGTTATGTTTAATTTCTGCCAGATTATTCTAAAGTAACGACTACACACTAGGAGTGGATGATTTTTCTTGTTTTCTTGTTTTCATGATATTAATGCCCATTGTCTTGGTGTTCTTTTTGATCTTAGCATGTAGGGCAGTGCAGATGGATTCTCCTGCCTGGAGATTGGAAACCCAAAGGTATTTGTGTGCTAAGAGAAGTCTGGTGACTGCCTAAAGTACACAGTCAGTGTGACCTTGGCAGAGATAACAGAGAGCTTACACACAGACAGACACACACATCCCAAAAGGATGCTAGAATGCTTGAAACTTTCCTCTACGCAGAGAGACGGGGGAAGAGAGGAGGGGGGGAGGAAATGGGGGAAAACTGAGCTTATAAATAAACGCTGGGAAGCCGAGAGGTTTCAGATCAGCTTCCTGCAGACTTGTGTCCTGTCGTCTTTGCATTGCATACACCCCTGCGCCCCACACCCCAACGAGTGACACCACATTAGCGTCTAATCTGCATCTTGTTAGGGTAATAACATTTTTGCTGGCTTAATACTTTTTCTCCTTTTTTTGTGTACAGAAGATTTTACTACATGAATCTAGGGGAAGTTGTGCAAACAAAAGACTGGACAATTCCAGTCTTCCCCTCGTGCTTTGTGCTCTAGCTGTACATGTGTACAGAGATGCTCTGACATGGCAGGTTAGGCCCTGGGACTGATCTGATCACGAGGAGCATTTGTTCACTAGTTTGTTCAAATAATTTTCTTACCACATAAATCATCTTCAACAACAGATTCATCTAAAGAGATCTGAGGCTGAGCTTTCACTTCAAGGTTCCTGCTTAGCCAACTAGTCTGTTCCAAGGAAGAACCAGCAATGTTCCCCACAGCTTCCAAGATTTTCTGGGTCACCTCCTGATCAAGCAGATGAAACCAATTAAGAAGAAAGCATTCATAAATGGATAACACATAAATGGGTAGTATTTGTTTTAGTGCCAACCTAGCAGTTTGAAAGCAAGAAATTGCAAGTAGATAAATAGGTACCACTTAAGTGGGAAGGTAACAGCGTTCTGTGCGCCTTGGTGTTTAGTCGGCCACATGACCACGGAAATGTCTTCAGACAGCGCTGGCTCTTCGGCTTTGAAACGGAGATGAGCACCGCAACCCTAGAGTCGGATTCGACTGGCTTTCGAGCAAGGGAACCTTTACCTTTAATAAAGGAGACAAGCCGCAAAACCAACAAACATGGCTGTACTTAAAACCGTTTGTCACAGAGGCTAGATAGTTTCCCATTATCTGTGATGGTGGATAAGAATTTGTCTAAATGACAAAAGCCAGTAATCTTTGGTTGATTATGATTGTGGCTATGAAACCTGAAAGTTTAATGGAAAGTTCAACGGAAAATCCCTTTGGAAACCAAAGTCAGCCAATTAGATCATAACAGATGAGTTCTAAGGTCATGGTTTGATTTTTCTGGAACTATTTCATCATTTAACAGTGAAGCTAAGAAATCTGATCACCTCTGATAGATGGAAAATGTCAGAGCTGCCCTATTTGTTAGGAATAGGATTGTACTACAACTTCAATGGGAGCAGCCACTGCTGTAGCAACTGCAGTTTAAGCCAATCCACAGATCAGAACTCTAGATAGAACTCCAAATTCCAAACTAAAGGAGGATGTTATACTGCTCTGAGTGCTTTGAAGGAGAAGTGAGAAAAATATGATAGGTAGCTATTAGGCAGTTATGATATTAACATGGATTACATTTGTTGCATGACTGCAAGAAATTTTTGCTTGTTCTGATGAAACATTTGGCTGCCTCATGCTGACAGTAAGGCAGTGAAAAGGACATAAGTTTATGTATACTCGGATAATTCCATAAGAAAGTCGGTTAGTAACCAACTAACCTGCATGTGTAAAAATTGACACAATTGATGAGACTGAACTTCCTCTTGTTAAACTTACTTGACTGTTAGTAACTAAAAACTAAATGGTCAATTAATTTGGTTTAGATTATCACAGTATGTTTCCTTCCAACTGGTTAACAAACTGTAAGGAACAGGAGCTTGTTACAGCTTCCACTGTCCTACACCCCTCTTCCTTACATAGTGATCACTCAGGAAGAGGACACTGAGTATATGCCATGGAGTACCTGCAGATCTCTCTGATCCTTCTTATTTTCCTGGGTTGGAGTTCTAGTTACAAAATCATTCAGGGTGCTGTGGGGGAAAAAAACTAAAATTAGCACACTGAACAACTGTAGTTATTAGTGCATACTCTACATCAATTGTTATGACCATACCTGAGCAATAAGAAGTAACCAGGTGGAGCCAAATTTAATTGTACTGATTCTTTCAGCACTCCTAACAATGACTGGAAATTCTCTTGCAAAGCTGAGGCTGGAAGTCTGCAAGAAACCTGAAAGTCAGTAATGTCTCACAAAACCCACACATACAGAAAGCAAAAAGCAACACAACATTTAATTATCTGTCAGTGAGTATTTTAGTAAAAGGAAGAGTGATTAACACATGGAATTCACTACCACAGGAGGTGGTGACAGCTACAAGCATGGATGGCTTCAAGAAGGAATTAAATAAACATATGGAGCAGAGGTCCATCAGTGGATATTAGCCACAAGGTATAGATAGGAATTCTCAGTCTGGGGCAAGTGATGCACTGTGTTCTTGGTGCTGGGGGGGGGGACACACACACAGTGGGATGGCTTCTAGTGTCCTGGCCCCACTGCTAGACCTCCTGATGGCACCTGGTGTTTTTGGCCACTGTGTGACAACAGAGTGTTGGACTGGATAGGCCATTGGCCTGATCCAACATTGTCTTATGTTCTTATGTGAGATTAAAAAGATACAATAAGAGACTCTGACTCTAGATAATAGGCTGCACTGTGGAGTACTCATTAACTATTGCAACTTTTTGTAGCTATCGTCAATTTGATGACCACATACACACAAAGAAACTAAAAGAAAGCCCATTTTTTCCCAAGGATACTCAAGAACGATACTCAATATGCCATAATCTCTGCCAGATTAGTTTTTGCTGGATATTGGAAAAGGAACATAACTCCAAAGAAAGAGGAATGGTTGGAGAAACTAAAGGAATGCATACAGTTGAGTAAACTAACCTGCATGTTGAATAGTTAAAAGTTCAATAACTTCAATAAATGAAGTGTTATTCTGACTAGCATGGTGAAATGAATTTAATGTCTCTATATGATTTGTTTACAAAACGGCAGATGAATCTGTAAAGCTTTGTATTCAATTTTTTTACTGATTAAAATTTTTTATTAAAAAAAGAAGAGAAAACTAATTTACCTTTGTATGAAAGCATAGCAGAACTGGAGCACGGGGATATCTACTAGAGAAGATTTCTGTAAAAGAACAAAGGTCTCGATGTAATTCCTATACCTAATTATAAAAATATGCAAATTCAATAAGTAATGCCTAAATTCTGACCACAAAAAGAATGTCCTATTGAACTCAGTGGTGCTTCTGAGAAACCAGAAGGAGTTCTGAACTTATGCCTTTCGGACTGTATGCTTTTTTTTTTAATTGCTTGAATTTATGCTTTATTCTAACCAACATGTAATGCTAGTTTATGCCCAGTGTAACAATTTATTATTATCAGCTCATCCTTGTTTTATGCAATATTCTAAGCTGAATAGAGATGCCAAGTCCCCTTGCTGCACCGGCAAAGGGATTTGGGGGGCGTTCCAGGATGTTCCCAGATGCAATGATATCACCCAGAAGTGACATCATCGCGTCAATGATGCCGTTTGGGACACTCTGGTTTGAGGGCAAAACTCTATGGTTTTAGGCCAAATTTACCATTGAGTTTTGCCCTCAAACCAGAGTGTCCCATACGATGTCCCCAATATGATGTCACTTCCGGAATGTCGCGCTGGAACATGGCTTTTTGGGGGTGCAGTTTCCCTACCAACCAGCTGGTGAGCAACAGGCTGAAGCCCACAAAATTGGGGGAACCCCTGCTGGGAACTGGGGACTGGCAACCCTCAAGCTGAAGCATGAACGTGTCAGCTGAGTGTATCTGGGGGCGGTGGTGTAACTAGCGTATTAGATACCCCGAGCAGATCATTTTAAACACCTCCCTCCTGCTGCTCATCTCTCCTTTTCTATTCTTCCACTTCACTCCTGGCTTACCACCTCCTGGTACAACCCTCAAGCATTTGTAAGGTAAAGGTTTCCCTTGCTCGAAAGCCAGTCGAATCCGACTCTAGGGTTGCGGTGCTCATCTCCATTTCCAAGCCGAAGAGCCAGCGCTATCCAAAGACGTTTTCCGTAGTCATGTGGCCGGCATGACTAGACACTGAGGTGCACGGAATACTGTTACCTTCCCACCGAAGCGGTACCTATTTATCTACTTGCAGTTTCTTGCTTTCGAACTGCTAGGTTGTACAAGTGCATAAAACTGTGAATATCCTAACATCTGATCTTGTATTCACTGATGAGTGCCTAGCTGCACTATACACTATTCCCAGGTCTGTTCTCAGGCCCTATCAAGTAGAAAAGAACTGGAAGCTCTGGCTGAAACGTAGATTTTCAGACATGTGGTGATCCTATTCAGACCAGAACTTCAGCACACAAGGAAAAGGAGCTTAACCCACTCCCCTGTGCTTTTTCATGACCTGAGAAGGGCCCAGGGAACCACTATTTTCCCTACTGGGGAAAATAAAATGTACTAATGGGCTACATGCAAGCAGCCCCATAGCCAGGATTTTTTTCCAGCGGGCACCAATTAAATCCCCAACCCTTTCTTTTTCTCCGGGGTGGACTGATCTTCCTCACACACCCCCTCCAGCATTTTCCATGGAACTTGAAAGTTGCCATGCTTGGCACAACCACCTGCTGCCGGGGCTCAGCCAGCCAGGAGCTCCACCGGCCCCCAATGGGTGCAGCATCCAAAGCGGGGATCGAAGCCTTGTTTTGCCTTCAATCCCCACCAGAGCTTCCCTGAGCTCTTGGCCTGGCAGGGAGCAGAGTATGGTGGCAACAGCTAATCGAGACAGGGGCAGCAGGAAGTGGCTTGCCCAAGAGCTCTTCCTGGCGGTGGGCTTGATGCAGGCCCCTGGCACTGCATGGCACAGCCTCCCTCCCTTCCTGCCACAGGAGTGTCGGCACAAGGGAAGCAGAGGCTGCCTCTTTCCCCAGGGCGGGAGGGGGAAGATCAGAAGCAACCACTTGGTGGTCAGGAAGGAAAGAGCAGCTGGCTGGATCTTGCCAGAGTCTGGTGCATGCAGGGTGCTGCAAATTCGACAGGGGTTGCTGCCCCCATTGTCTATGGGCCTGCATGCAGGGCTCTTTCAGGTAGGGACAACAGTGCACATGAAAGGCTTAAATACCCTCTCTCCACAGCCTTAAACTGAATGGGCCTCCACATGCCTGAGAATTTAAGCTTCAACTGAGAACTCCCAGAAAAAAATATATTATGTAGCCAGGCGATATACTTAAGAGCTTGCTTTCAGCTTGTTTAAGCCCATCACCTACTTCATCAATAATATAATCAATTTATGGAATTATTTCCAGATAAGCCTGCTCTCAATATCTTTTTGACACAAGATTAAATAAAATATTGCTTTGTCTGCCTGAATGTAGGAGGAGACTGATCAGCAATTGCAACCCATTACCTCAAATTAATTAATTCAATAAACTATTACCTCTTCACCTTTGATCTGTGATGGCTTCTTGACAACTTCTTTTACAAGCTGCAATATAGTGTCAGTCTTCAGAGTATTGAGTGCACAAACTAGATCAACTAGTATAAGCTGAGGTGTTCTAGGCACAGAAGGGATCTGCAACAAAAAGTTTTAGGAAGCATTAAAAGAACTCAGAGCTATAATGTGCAATTTCAGGAACAATCAATGCCACCTATGATGCAGGCACACCACGGGAAGAAATAGGGTTGCCAAATCGACTCACCCCTTGGAGCGGGGGAGCCTTGCCGGCGTCCGGGAGGTTGCGACAACGCACGCGCCGGCAGCACGTCACCAGAAGTGATGTGCGATGTTGCTGATGTTGGGGGCGTGGCCGGGCTCGTCGGGGGGGGAACCATATGGTTCCCCCCCAATGAGCTCAGCCACGCCCCCAACATCAGCAACGTGACTGCGTCACCTCTGGTGACGCAGCTTCGGGGGCGGGGTTCCCCCCGGGCCCCGATTCCGCCGGGGCGGAAATTGGGGCTTCCGAAGCGGGGAATTCCCCGCCCCCCCCCGGGCCCATTTGGCAACCCTAGGAAGAAACCAGAAAGATCTGTTCTTGGTCTGGGAAGAATCTAGCAAAACTTTTATACAACATTTGAGAAAATAAATCCATACCAAAAATCATCCAATGAGCAAACTGGTAAGAGTCAACAGAACAAAGTTTGAGTCCAGTGGCACCTTTAAGACCAACAAAGTTTTATTCAAGGAAGGTATAAGCTTTTGTGTGCAAGAATAGTCAACATTAGCATTCAGAGACATGACTCAGTGGACTACAGGTTTTCTAAAAGAGAGGTCATCCGAGTACAATGGCTCCTTATTCTGCTGCAACTTTACTTGAAAATTAGGGCTGCAAGTTTAATTAGCTTATCATTCAGCTAAAGCAGTAGCTGAAGGTGTCCTTCCATTTAAACAAGGAATGGTAATTTCCAGTTTAACAAACAAAAGCTATATTTTCTTCAGTAAAAGTAAAGCTTTCCCTTGCTTGAAAGCTAGTCGAATCTAACTCTAGGGGGCGGTGCTCATCTTTGTTTCCAAGCTGAAGAGCCAGTGCTGCCCGAAGATGTTTCCGTGGTCATGTGGCTGGCATGATTAAACGCCAAGGTGCACAGAACGCTGTTACCTTCCCACCGAAGCGGCCCCTATTTATTTACTTGCAAATTCTTGCTTTCAAACTACTAGGTTGGCAGGAGCTCGGGCCAGAGACAGGAACTCACTCTGTCACACGGCACTAGGGTCTCGAACTGCCGAACTACAGAATAACCTCTGAGCCACTGCTTATCCATTTTCTTCAGTACTTCAAGATAATTATATAAAGATTTGGATAATATGTATTTTAATGTAATTATTTAGTTACATATCAGATTATTGATTCAGGTGGGTAGGTGTGTTGGTCTGAAGCAACAGAACAAAGTTTGAGTCCAGTGGCACCTTTAAGACCAACAAAGTTTTATTCAACGTATAAGCTCAAATACTTTGGCCACCAAATGAGAAGGGAGCACTCACTGGAGAAGACCCTGATGCTGGGAAAGATTGAAGGTCAAAGAAGACGGGGACGGCAAAGGATGAGATGGTTAGACAGTGTCATAGATGCAACAAACATGAAATTGAGCAAACTTCAGAGGACGGCGGAAAACAGGAGGGCCTGGCAAGATCTTGTCCATGGGGTCACGAAGAGTCGGACTCGACTGTGCGACTGAACAACAAATGCAAGCACACGTCTTTAGATGCTGACAGCTTATCTCTCCTTATTATAAAAGACTTTTGGCCATGCTCTCACAGCCTTTGTCTCCAGGACCTGTCATTAAGCCACTGTGCCAATGGCTGCGTGGCTGGAGTCCCACCCACCCGCCCACAGAGGCGGCGTCCGGCATCTGGCCCTCAGTGTGCTCGGAGCTGATGGAAGGGGTGGATGGGACTCTCCGCGGGGCTGGGGATGGCCAGGACCTCCTTCCCTCCACCTCACACGCCGCATTGGGAGTGGGGAGGAAAGCCCTCACTTCAATCCTCTCCCGCCACCCCCCCATCCCTCACGTGCCCCATGAAAGGAGCACGGACTCAGCCTTCCCCCCTCATGCCACCCTGTCAGCTCGCCTCTCCTCCTCGGCAACAGCCGCTCAACCTGCCGCCGCCTCCGTTGGCCACCTCGCGCTTTTTACAATGCCTGAGAGGCGGGCCAGGGGAGGACTGCGGAAAAGCCGTGCACCCACAAGTCCTGAGTGGGTCGGGAACTGCCCTGGTGGAGGACAAGGGATGGCCCCCCACTCCGCAGCCAGCTCTGCAGCTTCATGCAAGTGCTGGTCATGGGGGAGAAAGGGAGGCGGGGGAGAGGGGGCGCTGGCGACAGAGCTCCTGCTCGAGGGGGGGGGATGGTGCGGTGGTGGTGCTGATGGGGGAGGCTGCAGGGATGGGGATGATGGGGCCGCCCTGGCAGGCAGACGATATAACGTGAGAGGGTGAAAGCCCAGACGGCCAGGCGGATCGCTGCGGGGAGCCTCCAATTGCCTCTATATGGCCTTACTTTTCTCTTACTTGTTTACTCTTTCTAGACTTCCTTGCCTTTCTTTCCACAACGTGCCTTATTTCCTAGTACCTTGAATAAAACTTTGTTGGTCTTGAAGGTGTCACTGATGGCAGGCTATTGGAACAAAAGACATCCTGGGCCCTTGTGACGGCAGCCTGTCAAGCCACACATGCCTCCTGGCTACTTCTGACATTTGGCACATTTCCCTTCATGAGAGCTGTTCTGCTCTCTGCACAGCTCAGGGATGCTGCCTAACAGCTATTGAGACAGAGTCCCTTAAAGAGCGGTTTGGTTCTATGACCTCTTCCCCACCCAGCAGCAGCTCCTGAGGAAGTCCAAAGATTCCTCTGTTCACGGAAATGAACAACTAAGAAAATTGAAATGAACACTGTAAAATGTCAGAATATGACTGTTTCATTTCCATGCAAATTAAATATATTAGCATTAACAAGGTTCCACAGACATTACCAGAACCATGGCTTGGTTCAACAATGAATAGCCATCTGCTTTTTCCTTCCTCTTTATTAAAAACATTTTTATGTCACTTTTCTACCCAATCAGGGTCTCCTTTGTGCACCTGTTCAAGCAACATACAAAACCCAATCCTGAACTCATTTATAAGGACATGTCTCATCAAATTTTAATGCAACTTTCCTGCAAGTGTGCTTAGGGAGGTCCAATTATTTGGCATATTCCTGTGCAGTGCCTTTGTTACTTCAGAGAAACTCTGACTTTACTTCAAGAAAGCTGAAGTCAAACATTTTTGCTTGCTTATGTAAAATTTAAGAACCCAAAATAAACAGCTGTGCATTTAAAACTGCAAACTCATTCATACACGGATAATGTAAGTAATGCTTTTTGAGCACACAGAATTGGAGTCTTGCTGAAACTTCCACAGGTGAAAATTCCAACTCTTCTACAATTTGTTAAGCAGCAGAGTCCTCTAAAACTGTAACAGTCCTCCCTTGCTCAGCTCCCAGTGAAACTAAGTAGGCAATGGAGCTACCTTAATAGTTAATAACATCAGGATTATCGTATGACATTAAAGCTTTCTTTTACCTTTGTTTTGCTTTTATGCTTATGAGATTTTTTGCTGCTCCACACTGCTGCTACAGCAGCAATCAGCTGCACGCCCAGCTGGCCAGTCAGGGGATTTAAAAACTCCAGGATTTTACTCTTTAAAGTCTATTAAAAAACAAAACGTATCTAACATTTCTTGTAGAATGAATTGAGATTAGTTTTGACCATCATACACCGTAACAAATGTAATAAAGTAGAAAAGGCATCCCAACTTTTTAAAACCTTTGGAATTTTCACACAGGGTGGTGGGAGCAACTACAAAACGGCTGGTCAGGAAGCAGTGCCGCACACACAGAGAAAGCCCAAGTGCAGGGGAGGAGAAGGATAATTTAAAAAAATACACTAGGAAAGAGGAGTAAGAGAAAATAAAACCAAAAGTATGGTGGCAGCTCCCAGCGACACAGCATTATTTTAATCTGTACAGCCAATCTGATCTCCAGAGGCCACTCAGAAGCCCAGCTGGGCAAGGGTCCCCACATGGCCACACTCACTTTCTAAAGCAGTTTGTGGGTACCAGGAAAGGTGTTGGCAGGCACCACGGCACCCATGGGCACCACGCTGCGAACCCCTGAAGTAGAATACATTATTTTACTCATACTTTGTTTTTCTCATGTTAATAAATCCTTGCTTGTATCTTTCTGCAACTCTAATCCAGATGGGCACACAAGACTATCTACATCCACAGTGGGAGTTTAAATGCTTGTTTCCCAGCATCAGTTTCCTCACACTGCAATGAAGATCACATAACACCAGGTGATGGGGTGTCCTAGCTGAGGGTTAGAAGGGAATATGAAGAACTGTGCCACATTTGGATACGAAAGTAAATTAATGAATACATGCTAGTTCTAAAAGTGAGGAAATTTCTGAATAAACTCATTTAGAACTAAAAATCACCAAACAAATTGGAGTTGGTGTTGTACCATTTCCAATAATCTATAGAAAAAATAGTCAAGATACCTTTATCTTCAGCAGCTACAAATTTGGATTCTTCGTTCACATAATATTAATAATATTTATAGAAAATAATGCTTAGCAAAGGAAATGATTTTCTGCCAGATAGCCTCCTCAAAAATAGAACATCAGTAAAGAAAAAATGTTGTGCAAGGTTATTAGGGCTTTTCCAGATGTTTAACAAACTGATACAGCTAATGTTAAGAATAGACATTTAAGTCCAGAGTCTATCTGTCCTCCTGCCCTACCCCAACCCCAAGCATCCGTCATCATTCAGTCTAAAGAGGTCCTTATGAAGTTTGTACTCCTTTGCCTTCCCAGGTGCTGTGGCTGGATGGCTGAAACAGAGCCAGTTGAGACTGAATCCACTGAAGATGGTCCTGTGGTGTGTGTGTGTGTGTGTGTGTGTGTGTGTGTCCTGAGGCTGGGATATCAACTCCCAGTGCTTGATGGCACACCACTGACACTGGCATTGACTGTCAAGAGTCTGGGTGTGCTCCTAGACTCCTCTCTGTCTATGGAGGTCCAGGTTGCAAATGTTGCCAGGCTGGCATTTTTCCAACCCCACCAGGTCAGGCAGCTAGCCCCCTTCCTCTCTAACCTGGACCTTGCCACAGTGATCCATGCGACAGTCATCTCAAGATTGGATTACTGCAACTCAGTCTACATAGGGCTGCCCTTGAAGCTGATACGGAAATTACAGCTTGTTCTGAATGCAGCGACGCATGTACTTACATGTACCTCAATGACGGCACACATTCAACCTGTGCTCCATCAGCTGCACTGGCTCCAGGTTGAGTACTGGATCCACTACAAGGTTTTGGTATTGACCTTCAAAGCCCTTAATAGTCTGAGGCCAGCGTACCTGCGGGACCACCTCTCTTGGTATGTTCCCAGAAAAGCCTTGCGCTCAGAAGATTACTATTATGTATTATACTAATTGATCGCCCTATCCTGACTTGTGCTGGGCTCTGGGCCATGTACAGTATGGCATAAGCATTAGAAACAATATACAAACACTAAATATAATAAAATTAATAACATTAAAAACTAATTTAAAACAAATTCAAGATGATATTACTAACAATTATACAATCGAAAATCTGGAATTCTGAACTGTTTTGGTCACTTAAGTTCTTTTTTGTTTTGTTTTGGAGGGGGGGATGGGTGCCAGCCATGTTGGAAAACCGTCACTGTCCCTGACCGAAAGCCTAGTGGAACATCTCTGCCTTCCAGGCCCTGAGGAACTGCATGAGGTCCTGCAGGGCTCTGACCGTATTAGGCAGAGTGTTCCACCAGGTTGGGGCCAGGACCGAAAAGGCCCTGGTCCTGGTCAGGGACAGCTGGACCTCTTTGGGGCTAAGGATCACCAGTGAGTTGTTATCTGCGGCGCATAACACTTTCCTGGGGACATAATGAAGGAGACAAAAATCTACTGGTGGTCTCTGGCCCAAGAGATTTCTGGTTGTCCTCAACTAGAGCCAGGGCCTTTTTGGCCCTGGCCTGGTGGAACTCTCTGCCTAGTGACATCCGTGCCCTGCAGGACTTTGTTCAATTCCAGAGGGTGTGCAAAACAGAGATATTCCACCAGGCCTACAGTTGAGGACAGCAAGGGTTCTTCTCCTGGCCTCTCTACAGCCATCACCATGTCTGGTTCAGGACCTGCTGTTGGGAGGGAGCATAATTTTACGTAGGCCACTGATAACTAGACAATGTGCATTGTGCTGTACTGTTTAAACTATTATTTATATTGTATTTAAACCCTTGTATTTTAATGATGTTGTACATTGCACTGAGCCCTCCAGGGGAGGGAGGTTTATAAATTCAACAACAACAAGAATAATAATATTTAACTCTAGAAACTGATGAGACTAGTTTTCTAAAGATACCCTTCCCCTCCAAAGATTACTAAGCAACACACAAGCTTAACTGAAGGTTTCATACTTTGGTTGACTTAAAGTACACTGAAGCAGAGCCTTTTATTCCAAGAAAGTCAGCTGGTCTTTTCTGAGTCTCTTCCTTTTTTATGACACCCCAAAGGAGGGACATGGTGTTGATAATACAGGGCAGCTCCTCCAAAATGGCATTCTTGGCATTCCTTAGGTTTGTAGGGTCAGCACTAAGTGGTGACTAGGAAGACAAAACAATTCTTGTTATAGATTGCAGAACACAGGCAACAATTGCCATATTCAGACTCAGAGATCCTGCCAAATATTTATCATGGCTACTCAAAAAACTCTGCTAACAAATGACTTAACATACCACTTCTCAAAATATACAAATACATTAACCACTCTAACATCTGTTAGCAAATGCAATTATTATTATTAACTTTCTTTATAGCCCCATCTTTCTCACTGAGACTCACGGTAGATTACAACATACAACCCCCCCCACAATTTAATCAGACAACAAAGACCTGTAAATAAATCATGCATTAAGTAAAGGTAAAGGTTCCCTTGCTCGAAAGCCAGGCGAATCCGACTCTAGGGTTGCGGTGCTCATCTCCGTTTCAAAGCCGAAGAGCCAGCGCTGTCCGAAGACATTTCCGTGGTCATGTGGCCAGCATGATTAAACACCAAGGCGCACAGAACGCTGTTACCCCATGCATTACAGAACTAGAAAACAGTACAAATGAAAAACTGTCTAAGGCAGCAAAAAGTATCTAAGGCATGGCATACCATAATGAAGAAAAGGGGTTACAAAGGAACTGGCCACTGAGTAAAAAAAAAGAAAAAAAAAAGGAAGGCAGTACACATCATAAACAGTGAAATATGGGTTTTCACCCTTACCAATGGCCATGGTTTATCACATGCACACCATTCCTTCAAGTAGTGCAAAGTGGTAAAATAAAAATGGTAGACCACTTTCTCCCAATATGTCTATAGCCAAGGAACAAACTAACTTCCAAAGACAGATTCTGCTACTTGGTCTTATGATATGAATCACATGATGCCAACCCAGTAAGCCCCTTCTATACAGAACAGAACAGAACAGAACAGAAAACCTTTATTGGCATAACAAGCTTTCTATACACATAGTACTACTTTCTGACTGAATGTACTTTGCAGCAAATTTATTTTAAAAAATTACAGTTACCTTTTTGCTTTGGTTTGGATAATCCAATAGACAAAAGTGCCCAATAGTAGTCAGACCTTCCAAAAGAGTTAGAGGATAATCTGGTGTAATGTTTTCTCTCTTAGAACTTATGCTTGAGGAAATAAAATTAAAGTTCAGTTAATTATTTCAATCTTGTAATCAACTTTATACTTCAGGTGTTTCATATCTCAACTCTGTTTGACCGAACTATTTTTTAAACACTCTTGTCCCCCCTTCTCTGGTCCCATCAAGTTATCTGCTGCCAATCTCTGTTCTAAACAGCAGTGGCAAGCACCTTGGGTGGCATGAGTGTGTGAAGGTGCTGTCTCAGTTCATACTTATAAGCTGCTTACTACAGTTAACATAAAGATGGTAACTGAATGACCAGAGTCATTCTTTGAAAGTTAACTATAACTGTACATTTTGATTCTGCATGCTTCTGTCAACAAACCTAATATCTATCAGATTCACCACGTTAGCTGTCATACTGATTTCCTGCAAATAGCAGTCATGTTAGAATATGCTACGCAATCGTTAGTTTTCTGAAAAAACATGTAAATTTAAAAACATGTAAACAATGATACACTGAACAGTAGAACATGAAAGCAAGTCCTTATGAATAGCCTACTCCGTACCTTACAGTTACCTTTGCTGACAGCTTCAGGGTTTCATGTTCATATTGTCTGACAAGTTCATCCAGGTTCTTACATATCTGTACAATAAACGGTGCCACTGTCCACCCCAACGACTTCCCAAAGTATGGCAGGGAATGTGCAACTAAGCCAACCCAAGCAGGATGCATCCCATACCCATAATCTGGTTGCAAACCTCTAACTACAGCAGACACAAACAATCCTTGAGACGTTATAGGATGTGGGTGCACATACTGCATAGCACCAATTGCCTCCTGAAAGTTAAGTGCCCTTTGCCATTCCTTAGATAAGCCCGGCTGGTTCTCTGTTTCCTCCTGAGTCTGTCCAAGATGATGCTCCAGAACTATTAATACTTGCAGAAGTTTCAGTAGTTCAATCTGTAAAGGATGCTCACTCCAGATCTGATCATGACCAAAATTAATGAGACTCTCCTCAACGAGGACTTCTTCATTTAAGACATTTGTTTCATCAGCTGTCATACATTCATACCGCTTCTGACTTATATACATGGAAGCTGACAGAGAAAGGAGGACAAACTCTTGAACTCTGCATCTGCTAAGCAGAGTGCGTATAAATTCCATGTTCTTGCCCTCTGCTGATCTAGCCAATGAAACCAGCTGAGTCATTATCCTGATTAAGACTTCAACGCTTTTGACCTGGACATCCCTATTGCCAAGCACATCTTTGTGGGTTACTTTCAAGTAACAAGGATAATAGGAGCGCAAAAAACTCAGACAGAGATAAGTCAGCAGTTCTATCAATAATGAATGGGGACACATAGTTGGTGACTGAGTCTGAAGCTTCCCATAGAAACTCTGTCCCACAAGAGCTTCCTGGTGGCGGGCAAGAAGATTGTAGATGAGATTCAGATGGGCCGTGGAGCTAGTATCCATGCTGGTGGTGGCTACAGCTTCGATAAACTCTCTGGGGTTTGTTTTTAGCACTGCTTCAAGAACAGAAAAAGCATATAACACCCTCTTGGAATCATATGGCTGCAAATACAAGAGAATATGCTTGAACAGAGCCACAATTGTCTCCCGTTTTTCCTTCTGCTGTTTTAGCAATCTAGATGTGCTAAGTGCTTGAAGTTCCAAATCTACCTCCTCGTCGCTTGAGAGAGATTCCGATGCTTGAGTTCTCTCAGAATCTGCTCGCACAAGGTTTAGTGCAGTACTGGATTTGGAACTGTCAGGAGGGCAAATGTTAGAGGGGCCAACATTTTTCATGCCTTCTTTGCCCTCAGGGGAGGCACTGCAGTTCTCCTCATTGCTTATATCTTGCTGATCCAGAGAAGGAGAAAAAGATGATGTATTATCACTGTCAGCAGGCCCTGTGCTGGTATCAGCAGACTCTGTATGTTCACTATCATCCTCTTCACCCATCTCTTCTGGAGATTCTGCACGCTGTGAAGGATCATTTACAGACAATTCATTTTTTTGTGGAAATTTGTCTGGGTCTTTTTCAACTTCAGCCCAAATAGCTTCCCTGTCTACAGCTGTAAACTGCTGCAACATAAAATTTTCTTCAGAACTGCTTTCATATAGCTCAGGGGCTCCCAAAGACTCATGGAAATAGGGCTTTTTCTTGCTAAACCAGCGATGCATGTCTTCTGAAAAGGCATAATAATTTTTTTTTAATTAATCACACAAAAATATATTTAAATAAATAAAATTAAACACATTTTAAATCCTGCCTCTTTCCACACAAGACCCAAGATACCTAACAAGGTTAAGACAATATCATAGGTCACACAAATCAAAATCAATGAATTAAGGAGAGGGTGTATCCAGAGATCATCACCCTCCTGGCTACGACTAACTCCACTTTTGAGTCACCTGTCTTCTTTCTTTTCAGCTGAATCATATGCTTTCTCAGCAGGTGGCTGCTCTAAATAAAGTATTTTGCTGCTGCCCTACTAGTATTATGCTTCAGTATTGATTAAAGTACTGAAACTAACAGGCATTAAACCCGAACAGCTAATGGCTCAAATTTTAATTCCCCTTTTAAAAACAATGCAGGAACAACTCTATTGAGGGAGTACAATCTTACCTGCAGTTTTTTTCTGTTTGATACAGTGAATGGAAGTTCGTTGTGTCTTGGGATGAAGCAGCAGCAGTAAAACTGGTTCAAGGATTCTTGCAACGTCATTAAGTGAGAGTGCTCTTACCAACCAACCCTGTGCTGTAGCACCAATTGCCCCATCTGAACAGTTAAGACTGTCCAATACAACAAACAGGGACCTGTAGATATCACAGTAATATTAAAACAAGGCATCAGTTATGTGGAATTATGTGATCACTTTCAGTGGAGGGCTGGGTTATGGTTCAAGGGAAGACAAATTTGGATAACTTTACTATTAGAACACTCCACCACTTGAGTATTCACTAGAAAACTGACACGACAGAATGGTGCTTCCAAGACAATGATGAGGGCTGGGTTATGGTTCAAGGGAAGACACATTTGGATAACTTTACTATTAGAACATTCCACCGCTTGAGTATGTCACCAGAAAACTGACACTACAGAATGGTGCTTCCAAGACAATGAAGGAACACATGCATATTGCCAGTATGTTTACTTTGGTGTACCTTTGGTAGGGATGGGCATGAACTGGAAAGAAGCCATTCATATTGGTTTGTGGCATGTCCGGTTCATGAGCCACGGACTGTGAACTTTTAGGTGCCAAATGAACCGATTCCGTTCATGAGGTTCATGATGCAGTAGACCCCCTCCCCCGAATGCTAAAGATAGGAAACTTGCAGGGGATCTCTAGCTGATTCTTCTCTACCTGTCCTCCAATTTGGTGAGCACTGGATTTATAGGGTTCAAGTTACAGCCCCCCAAAGAATGCTTTCTGGGGAAATGACAGGCGCAGGCTCAGGAGTGTATAGAATGGACGTCAAACTCACAGTGGACATCCGCTTGATGCTCCTCTACATGCTCTCCAAGGTATGTGCAGACTGGACTTAGGGGGTCCGAGTTATGGCCCCCCAAACAGGATAGTGCTTTTGGGGGGAAATGTCAGGCACAGGTTCAAAAGTGTACAGAATGAATGCTTTCTGGGGAAATGACAGGCGCAGGCTCAAGAGTATATAGAATGGACCCTGTGCAAGCTACAGACGTCAAACTCACAGTGGACATCCCCCTGATGCTCCTCGACATGCTCGCCAAGTTATGTGCAGACTGGACTTAGGGGGTCCGGGTTATGGCCCCCCCAAACAGGATAGTGCTTTTGGGGGGAAATGTCAGGCACAGGTTCAAAAGTGTACAGAATGGACCCCCTGCAAGCCACACACACCAAACGCACAGGGAACCGCACCCTGCCACCCGCTCCTCTACAATCTCTCCAAGTTGGGTGTGGATTACATTTCTGGGGTCCCAGTTATGGACTCCCCCCAAAAGGTGTCTCCAGTGCTTTGTCTGGAAAAGACAGATGTAGTTACTAGAGTCTATGAAATGGCTCAGGAACAAGCCAGTGACACCAAACTCACAGGGAAATGTCACCTGGGCAGACCCCCTGCCAGACACTGGAAGCAGGGCAAGCATTCCCCCCAAGCTCACAGCCCCCATCCAAGTCTCCAAAGGCAAGTTCTGAAGAACAGAAAGGCAGACATCCCCCATAGTCTTGCCAGGGGCTTTCCAAAGTAACCCCACAGCAGTTTGGCAGGCACCTAGCCACACAACACAAGCAAGTGAATCATGCCCAACGACTCTCACAGCCCCCCCCCCCAAGGCTGAAACACACAGATCCAGAGCACACCCATCAACTAGGGTGTATGTTTCTATGCAGCAAAGGAATGGAAACACATGTTGAGCTGGCAGGGCCATCCCCAAGTCTCCAAAGGTGGGTTCTGAAGGACAGAAGGCAGACGTCACCAGAGTTTCAACAAGGATTCCCCACAGTAACCCCATGGCAGCTTGGTGGAGACCCCTGGCAAGCACTGGAACCCAGTGAGGTGTGCCCACAACACTCCCTGGTGTCAGGTCCCCAGCTAAGACACTCTCTAAGGCCATCCCACCCCCACCCACCAGAGGTGGCATCCTCCCACCCACGTGCCAAGGGTGCAACCAGCATGCCAGATCACCTACAGAGGAAAAGGGGGACCGCAGGGGGAAAACAGGAGGCCTGGATCTTACTTTGTGAGGTCCATAGAGAAGTATCCTAGCAGGGGGAGGTTGATCACCCTGGCTGGGTCAAAGCATGAGTGGTGGAGGCTGAGAATTTCACCCAGGTGGAGGAGCAACCACTCACTCTAGACACTGGTGGGAGGGCAGGAGAGGAGACTCATGGCCATGCAAGAGAGATTGGACCAGATGACAGCTTTGCGTGATCAGTACTGCAAGGGATGGGAGCTGGTAAGCTCAGGGAACTTGGTGAGGTACTTACTCACCATCATCTCTGCCAAATCTTCTGCCATTGCATGCCTGGCATCCCTGCCACTGCTGATCTCCCAGTTCACCGCTGACAACCAGTGCCTCCCATGTTCTCCAATCCTGGGGCCCCGTTTCCAGCCCACAGTTTGGAAACATTTCTGCACCCTCCCCAGTGACCCTGTGTGGCAGAGTGCCAGGTGTTCCACATCCATGTTTGGAGGGATGCAACCCCCCTCAAAAAAACCCCCAACAACATCCTCCTTTGTCCTCTGCAGGCACCTGCAAAGGATGTACTGAACTATGTTGCCACCGGAAGAAAGAGTGGCAGCCAGCGGGAGGAAGAAGAGGCCCATCCCCTCTCAGCAGGGAGAAGCAGAAGGAGAACAAAAGGCCCCTCTGAGAAAGTCTCTCTGCACTTAGGGTACTGTGGGTGGGAAATCAAAGCAGGTCATGCTCCAAGAGGTCATTCCCCTGGGGATGCCAACAGTGCCATCCAAAAGAGCTACATGGAAGGCCCAGGAAGCAGTCACTTGCCTTGTCGGTGATACAATTGCTGTGGATGGCTAACTCTTTTCCCTCATGGAGGACACAGCCTTTTGCTGGCTGCTGCGACACCTGGCTCTCTGGTACTCCATCCCCTCACAGAGGACCATGGGCTGATGAGTCTGGCCCGCCATGCATCAATCTGTAGTGGCAATGTTCAAGGCTCAGGTCTCCAAAGCACAAGGCAGAACCACGCACCTCACGGCAGACCTCTGGAGCAGCCAGCAGCAGGGCTACCGGTCTTTCATCACCCACTGGTGGCAACCAGAGGTCCTCTGTCTGGACTGTCAGGGCATTGCTCAGGACCCAGGAGGGGACAGTCCTGCCACTGGGACACAAACTGTTATTTTTTTAAGTATTTAATTCCATTTCTATCCCACCCTTCCCACGAATGGGCTCAGGGCGGGTTACAAGGTCACACAATTCGTGACAACAGTAGCATATAAGTTAGATAGTTAAACATTAACATGTAAGTGATTCTGCTCCACATGTAGGGGATGGATGCAGACCACATGGCATGAAACATCGCCACCATAATACAGAGTAGCCTGAGTCTAACTAAAGGCCACCAGGGAAGAGTTGTTCATTATCAGAAGGGGTGGGCAGGTATAAAATGTGGATCCTCAACCAAGGCACCCAATAGCTAAGCTCCTCTGCTAGGTGTGAGCAGAGAGACAGGGTGGCTCAAAGCCCTGAGTCCACCTTACACCCAAACCCCACCATGGGAGAGGTGTTCACAGTCAGGTGGGATGGGAGGGTATAAATGTGAATCCTCAGCTGAGGCACCCAGTAGCTAAGCTCCTCTGCTTTGCATGAGCAGAGATACAGGGTGGCTCAGAGCCCTGAGTCCACCATACACCCAAACCTCACCAGGGGAGAGGTGTTCACAATCAGGAACAAATGAATGTGCTCTGCTTCTAACAAGTTCCCTGCCTCTCTGTCTGTCAACAGTGAACAGAGGAAAGGCTGCAGAGCTGAGCTGAAGGTATATATAGAATTCTAAATCCCATAGAGCAGAATGAGGACTCTTTTATTGGCAGCCGGCAGTGCCTGTTAAGCTTTAGAGCCCTATTGGTGTTTCCAAGGTTGGAGAAATTCAGCCCCCTGTTGCTTTGAAGTTTGGTAAACATTTTGATTGAAAGGAGACTGTCTGTAAATGCATCCATTCACAAAGTGCCACAAACCTCTATGAACCATTTGAAAGTTCACGGAAAGATGTTGCTGGATGACCTGCCATGAACTTCAGTTTGTGAACCATCGACATTTGTCATGAACATTAATTCATGAGCCAGTTCGTGCCCATCCCTAACTTTTGGTCATGGAAGTGGCCCCTCACATCAGATGGTAAAAAGGCTCTGGCTAAGCCTGTATTAATCTTCTGAAAACAAACTGAACATTGATTTTTGGTTTAGGACAGGTATATTTTTGGTGCATGTGAAACTTTAGCCATTTTCAACTCAATTAGCAAAAAGAGATGCAAAGGTATAGTTTCATCAAGATGTAAATTAAATATAACAATACCTATCAAAAGATCGATTGCGGGAAGTGACTCTGCTGCTCTGGATTTCTCTAGTCAAATGCCACATGATAGAGAATCGAAACAGTGCCTCCAGCCTTGTTCCCTTAAGCAGGAAAGAAACCCAAAACATTCAAAACAAGAATATGTTTGTGTTATTTCTGTGGAGTCATAAAACTATCTGAAATATCAATGCAAACAACATAATTGAATGACAATACAGAATCTGTCTCACAATGCAAAATTTGAATTTTACTAGTGGGAGACTCATAGGGAGTTGGGGGAGGAATCTAATTTTCCCTCTCCCACTATTTCCCTTCTATCATCACCATCACCACCACCACTTTTATCCAGCCCATTTCCCAAGAACAGGATTTCCTGCAAGCAGGACCCCCATGGTCTTTCCCTTTTCCCTGCTTTGTTCTCTTTCTCACCCATCAGCCAATCTACCTTTATCTGCCCACCCCCCGTATCTAGCTTTCCCTCCTTTCCCCTTCCAGCAGCCTCTACCTAAGAAAACTATGGCCAGGTTGTGCAGTACCAGCCGTGCCTGGTGGCCCAGTGGGAAACCTGCAAGGACTTGCAGGAGGCACCTCAGTCCTAGGAGAGTTATGCAAGTTGCCTGGCCCCAATTGCTGCTGGGCCTTGCCCCAATGACTCCTCACTCAAAGATCAAAAAGAAAGAACATGATATTGAGTTACAACCAGTTCATGGTGACCCTCATCTACAGGGTGTTCCAGGCAATAGACAAGCAGAGATAGATTGCCACTACCTTCCTCTGCATAGCAACCCCAGTCTTCCTTGGTGGTCTCCATCCAAGCACTGAATGTGGCCAACCCTATTTAGCTCCCAAACTCCGCTAAGCTCAGGCTAGGCTGGGCTATTCAGGCTGCTCAAAAACCAAAACAACTGTGGAACTGGCCATGCTCCTTCCTCCTGCCTTTCACTTAAGCCTGAAGACTGGCAATACTGGGTAGGTTCCCTAGCAACGGCCACTGAGGGTACCATAAAAAGCTATGGGCACTGCTTCAATTTTTGGTGTGTGTGTGTGTTAACCCCTCAGTGTATTTTTAAAAGATTTCAGATTTTTCTGCAAACCTGGGGTGTTTTTCAGCTTTGTAAAAAGTTCTGTCTTGCCTGTTCACAGCTCCAAGCTCCAGATTTAAGTATCCACAGATTTGGCCATGCTGAGAATTGATACACTGATGGCCACTTTTTAAAATTGCTAGCTGATTTGCATTAAAAGTAAGTGTGGATATCTTTATAAAACTTTTCCTTTCAGTTACTTTGCTTTGTTGATCTAAGGACTACCACACTTTTCTTCTGCTTTCAGTTTTTCAAGAGATCTGAATATTTTGATTAGTACAGGGGAGACATTTGATTAACTGCAGCCTTTTTATAGTACATCTCCTCCCCTCCCATTCTGCATTTCTGTCCGATAGACTTTAGTGCATCCTGAAACTGGCACTATGTCATCCAACTGAGTCCAACGTTATCTGCATTTTAACATTACAAGTTGCAGACAAGGGATGTTTCTATCATGTCCTAAAACACCTCTCTCTACCCTCCTTTTTTGAACAGCCAACCTGCCAAAGATTTTTTGGGACTTGAAAGCTGCACACTGTTTTGTGATATTTTGGTTTATCTTAACATGATTGTTGATATGACAGAATAAAAGTTGTTCTTTTTTTAGTTTCTCCATTCTTGGACCAAGCACAGATTACCACTCCCTGTAAGTAGCTTTCTTCATGATAAAACTGTAGTCCACTCACATTTCAAAACTTGGAGAAAGACAGTAAAGTGAACTGTGGTTTATAAAGAGAATGAGGCATCAAAGTAAAATAATTTCTTGAGCCACTGCAAAGTAATTGCCAAGGCAGAGCCAGGGTGTGTGTGGAACAGAGAAAAGCTTTTGCTTCTTCTCACTGAAGAGTGATAAAGGTTACTTGCCTGGAAGGAAAAAGAAGCAGGGCTTCCTGGATTGAGCTGGGGCAGCACTAGACAAAAGAGCCAAGACATGAGCCTGGGAACAATTTATGCCTCCCCTAGCAAACTGGCTATAAAGGGACTTCTTATTGCATCATGCCAATGGCCCATTCAGCCTTACATCATCTACAATGACTGGTAGCAATGCTCCAGGATTTCAAATAGAAATGTCTCACAGCTTCACTACCCAAAGTATGTTTTATATTTCTATTTCAAGCTAGAAATTTGATGTGGGGTTCTTTATGTGCAAGTTGGGGCTCTACTGAGTTGGGATTGAGCATTCTTATGGAAGCATGTTATCTTAACAGAGAAATAAGATATCACACACTCTTTACTGTATCAAACTGCTACTCTGTTTTTAGGAAAATACTGGTGATGCAAGATAGCAATCAGAAGATATATCAAGACAGACTAGGCATTTTAAAACAGTATCACTTTGCAAATTATGATTTCTGGGAAACAAGCAATTTAAGCTTTAATCTTACAGCATTTAATATATCAAACAGCATTTAATACTTGGTATCTCTGTTTATTTGTTAAATAGACCCTCTAACTGGGGGAAGGAGTGAGAGATCTTCAGTGGGTCTTAAAGGTAGAGACTGAAGGAGGTGGTTGTGAAAGCTGGAATACTACATTAGATTGTACAGTGTTTAATAAGACATTGATCAACAAGCCTTACTTTATCATGATCCAGTAATGCATGGCAGATAATGTCTTCACAAATATTAGCAGATGGAGCAAGACAATGGAGGCGAAAGAAAAGTTCTACACAAGTATTGTGATGTTCCCTTGTCTCTTTGTTTAGTTGATTCCAAAGCACTTGAGCAACTCTCTGGAATAAAATCAGAAATCAAATGAGCTATTTCCAGCAGTTTAACACACAATATATCTCCGAAAGGTCTGTATTTCATGTTTTCCTACAGTACAATGTTTATACATACAAACAAGCAACACGAGTAACACCAGAGTCAAGCATTAGATAACCCAAAAGGCAGTGTTACTTCCATTTTTAAATGTAGTATTTGTTATTTACATGACACAGAAACCTGCAATTAGAAAGCACAATAATTTGAAAGATTTCATACAGGACAACCTGCTTAACTTCAGCAAGATTGTTGTATCATGTACTTTCAGATTGTGCTTTGCTCTCCAGCTGAGTATTACCCCATATTACACAGACTGCAGTTCTACACACACACACTTGGGAGTAGCCTCAGCTGAGCTGAGTCAGACTTCTGAGTCAACATGTATGGGAATGGGTTACATATTACCTGCAGAACATATTATCTGCAGTATAAAGGACAAGTGTCCTCTAGACAATATACACCTACAGAAAACCCATATTCTGACTTGCAGGAATTTTTAAATGGAGAGATCAAGCACACCTGATAGAAATCAGTTTTTTCTGAAATCAGCTTTAGAACTCCAGGAGCAACAGGAGGAACTGTGACCATCTGTAGTCTTCCAAAGAAAGGGTTTTTCTTGGATATTTTATAACGCTTTATTCTGTCTTCAATCACCAGTGCTAATGATTGAGAATGGTTGATTAGATCCAACAGCACAGAGATGGACACATTCTGAATATGGCAGTCATTTACACAGCAGCATATTGTCATTAGGGATTTGAGCCACAGGGGGGAGCTGGATTCACCACCTCCTGAAGAAAAACAGACAAATAATTCACTTAAAATTTATGTAGGATTTTGCATTTACCAATGTTTTTGCAGTGATCATTACATAAGCCAGTAAGAGGTGACCACATGTTAAAATATTGCTATTTAGTGTGTACACACACAGAGAGACACACACAGAGTGAACTAGATGTGTACTACAACTCATTTGCCATCCTTCATATGGAAAGAGAGATCACACCTAACCTGAACATTTTCTACTTCTATCTGGCATTACATGTAACAGTACAAGCCCTTTCTGGGACAATCCATCCCTGCATACTGACCAATCTTTGGTAGGGTCTGTGTATCTTTCATCTGGTCAATATGTCCTATTACCACATTTACTAATTTACAGCCTAACATATTACACATTTGTATGCAGTTTCCAGGGAAACCCCTTGCTTGCAACATAGATTTGTAATACATTCTTCTGTGACTGGAGGTTCCTGAAAATTCACTAACCAGAAGTTCCTCTTACCAGGCACTTGAAAAAGAGACAAATAGAGCTGTTCCGTTTCTTCCTCAGAAAGATAGACAGGAAACGTAGTGCAGTCCAGTAAGAGGTAGCACACGGCAGCAAAGGCCTCTCTGCAGTCCTCTCTTGTGTCTCCCAAGTCCAGCATGACTTGGTCAATGTCCCACTCATCCTCCTCTTTTTTCCTTTGACTATCCAGGTCATCTAAAGGACACTGAGATGCCAGCCCTTTCTGTTTAAAAGGTGATCCTCGAACTGTGAACAAGCCTGATAACATCTGCTTAAACTGTGGCACAGTGATTTGCTTTGAGTCCCATGAACTCCTTTTCTTGCCAGCAGTTTTAGTTACTTGATAATGTTTTTCTTTTTTCTCCTGTCCATTTGTGTGCTCTGTGGAAATACTGCCATTACCGGAATCTTGCAAATGAACACCAAATATATATTTACTAGCAAACTTTGCAACTAACTCCTGGACACAGTACACGGTCTTCTGCATGTCCCCACCCTTTTTCCAGACATCATCTCTCTCAGGAGTTACCCTGGGCATTCTCAAGTGCTGTGACAGCTCTGGGGATGAAGCACTAAGACCTATGCCACTGTCTTCAGACTTGAGTGGAGGAAATTGAACATCTTCATTCTGGAGGACTTTGGTTTCTGAAGTTAGCTCAGAACTCTCTTCCTTTACAGGGCTCTGAAATTAGAAAGACAGGATCCTTAGTTCTAAACATGGATGTATTAGTTTCATTCAAATTAAGTGAGAACAAACTAAAAAAAATCCAGTGTTTACAGTTTATAGTGTGAACTCAAAGTTACGTGTATTCATAACTGAAGCCAGCACTTCAATCTCTCATTCTCTCTTAACCTAGCCTGTCCCATTGGGCTTTTATGAATAACAAAATGAAAGAGGAGAAAACACCATGTTTGGAGCTCCCTTGTCTATTTATACATACACATGAACACACAAGCAAACACACTTTATATAAATATTAACAAAAAAGATGGGAAAGAGAAGGGATTTCTACCACATGCCTCTTAGATCTGTGTCCCTCATGGCTGTTTGAAGCCAGTGGTGCAGGAATATGGGGCCCTCTGATGGACATTATCAATCTGTCCCTAGATTTGGGGGTCTATCTGGAGGGTTTGAAAGAGGCTGTGGTAATACTGTTCTTGAAAAAGTCGTCCTTGGATCCTTTAGATCCTTCCAATTACCACCCAGTTGTTAAAATCATTTCTGGGCAAAGTAATTGAGAGAGTGGTAACTGAGGAGCTCCAACGTTTCCTGGATGACACATCCACACTTGACTGTTCCAGTCTTGTTTCTGCCTTGGCCATGGGATGGAGACGGCGTTGGTCGCCCTCAGACAATTTCTGCAACCAACTGGATCGAGTCAGATCAGCACTGTTGTTTATTGCTAGATCTTACAGCAGCGTTCAACATGGTTGACCATGACCTGTTGACCCACCACTTTACTGACATAGGAGTTCATGGGGTAGTCTTGCAGTGGCTTAACTCAATTCCCTGATATCAGGGACAGAGAGTAGCACTAGGGAGGAGGATGTCAACTTGGTACCCCTTAATATGTGGGGTCCCTCAGGGGGCAATCCTCTCCCCAATGCTATTCAACATCTATATGTGCCCCATTGCCCACTTGTCATGGAGTTTCAGCTGGAATGTCACCAGCACCCAGCTGTATCTGTTGGTGGCTGGCTGCCCAGACACTGTCCCACAAAATCTGGCTGATGGGTTGGAGGCTGTGGTGGGATGGTTGAGGAAAAGCCAACTGAAGCTGAATCAAACTAAGACAAAGGTTCCATGGATGGGTGGGTGGGATTCAGAATTGGGATCCCAACTTTCCACTCTTGACTATATACCCCTAATCAGGAGTTTGGGCATGGTCTTGGATACCTCCTTATCTATGGAGGTTCAGACCATGAACGTTGTCAAGCTGGACTTTTACCAGCTGCGCCAGGTGAGGCAACTGGCTCCTTTCCTGTCTCACCCTGACCTGGCCACAGTAATCCATGCAATGGTCACCTATAGATTGGATTACTGTAACTCACTCTATGCTGGCCTGCCCTTGAGACTGATCCAGAAACTCCACCTGGTTCAGAATGTGGCGGCATCACGGACAGCACACATTCAGTCTGTGCTGCACCAGCTGCAGCGACTCCCAGTGGAATATCGGGTTAAGTTCAAGGTTCTGGTACTGACCTTTAAGGCCTTCAGTGGTCAGGAACCCATGTATCTCTGGCACCGCCTCCTCTGGTATGTCCTCCAAAGAGCTTATGCTCTGCTGAGAACAACTTACTGGTGGCCCTAGGCGTCTGGCTGTCCTCGACCAGAGCAAGGGCTTTTTCAGCCCTGGCTCCTACCTGGTGAAACTCTCTGCCAAACCACATCTGTGCCCTTCGGGAACTTGTGCAGTTCTGCAGGGCATGCAAAGCAGAGATGTTCCGTCAGGCTTTGGTTGAGGACAGCGACGGGTACCATCCTATCTGGCACTCCCTTCCCTCCTTGACTCTGCCTTCTCTCAGTCATTGTGAGACAGTGATGCAATCTGTAAATTTGTTTTTGATGCCATCTGATGTTGTTTTTAAGCTATTTTTATCTCTTAGATTTTAAGTTGTATAATACTACATTGGTAACCACCCTGAGCTCTGTGAATTCAGAGAAGGGCAGTATATAAATTGAAATTATAAATAAAAATAAATAATACAGTTTTATACCAACACATCACAGTATCAGTAGAAAGATAATATTTGAACTTGTATTACAACAGAATCTATTAGCAGCTCTGACAGTTCAACAGCAAACTCTGCTTTGTTTCTCCTAGTTTCTAACTCTGATATCAGTTGCTCTCATCTATGAGACCTCTTACACAGATAAAGAAATAACCGAAAATAAAAGCAGCCTATTTCTTTTCTTCTCTCAAGAAGCTGAAAGCTGATCTTTATGCCACCGCAATCCTAGGTACATTTACTGGAAGCAAGTCACAGTCATTTTAATAAAATTTGCCTAAGAATCAGAATGCTACTCATGCTGGTGTTACACCTTCTGTCACAGGTACTGGAACACTGCACATATCAGTCCTGTAGCACTTCAGAGACCAACAAGATTTGGGGGCTTGAGCTTTTAAGAGTCAAAGCTCCCTTCATCAATTATCTGATGAAAGAAGCTGTGACTCCCAAAAGCTCATACCCTAAAACTCTTGTCGGTCTCTAAGGGAAAACTACCACAGGCATCAGCCGTCTAACTTGAGAGATCACAATGAACACTCACATCACTATTCACAAGTTATGATACACATACTTTTTAGAACATATAGCTGATGTTCACTGAAAAAGTAGTGTGAAGTGTCCCCCTACACCACAAAAACAGTATCTCTGCAAACAGGTTAATCAAAACTCTGTTGATTATAAAGTATGTTAAATAGATATAAGCAAATATTTTAATACCCACCGTGTCTGAGCTTCCTGTTTCAGTACCTAGGTAGGCAGGAGGCATCTGCACTTTGCTAAGCACCTTGAAGCATGTCCTTAAGGCGTGAGTGAGCTCCGGCAAACTTAGAGTTTCCATGTTTTCAAGGAGAGACTGCACCATGTAGCTGAGCATCTGTGGCAGATACAGAGTCTGCACTTCTGAATAAAGTTCCTACAAAAAAACAAGGGATTTCAAGCCATTAAATATTTAAATGTGGTACATTTAGAAACTGATTCCTACATATTCTAAAGGTTTCCAAGAATCTACAGACCCTTAATCCCTTCAAAGATGAGAAAAGCTTTATAGTAAGAAAACTTGGAAACACACGACAAAACATTTGTGCACAATACAGCAGACTTCTATAAAACTATTTTTAAAATCCAAAATACTTCTAGATGCAGTTGGAACAATAGTAATTATATATGCAATATTTAGATTTACCAATGGTATCACATCCAGGAAAAACACTAGTAGTGTGCAGAGCTCTGAAATCGTTGCAGAAGTACTGCTGTTCTTTGCCAGAAGGTGTGTTGGTACAGACTTATTTCTGTAATTTAAAAGAGAAAGCACACATGACAATAATTTAATCAATACTGGACAATATGATACTTCTAGTAGAAATGGCAGTGAAGAAACAGTATAGATTATATGTAAAGATGACTTTAAGCAATCAGCTAAAGAACTAACATGGATTACAAGAACATCCAAATCAGTGTTATTTTTAAGACAAGTCTAGTTTTGGACATCAAAACTGGAAATAATCTTTTAGAGGTACTTTAATGACTATTAAATATGAATATTCAATATGTTCCAGGATATATGGAAGGGAGGGCAAAGATGTCTTAAGTTATATTTTAATTCTAGTGGAAAAATAATTTAGACACGTTTGCATTTTGTAAGATAAAAGCTCAACCTTGTTAAATAAAGTCAGCATTATCCCCCAAAATAATCACTTGTAACATTTAGTACTGTAGACAAGGCTATATGGGGAACACTCCTTCCATTTTAATTAAAACCCTTCAGCCCTTATGGTTCTGAATAACAAGCTGCATATACCCTGGAGATACCTCACATTTCAGAGCAGCCCATGTAACTGAGAATCTGAAGTAAACACATGGACTGGATTTCTAAGATTTTAGAGAACCATAACACAGACTGAATATGTACTTCTTCTTGTTCAGTCGCACAGTTGAGTCCGACTCTTCACGACCCTATGGACCACATCACGCCAGGCCCTCCTGTCTTCCGTCGTGCTCCAGAGTTTGCTTAATTTCATGTTTGTTGCATTGATAGAATTATGTACATTGAACACATATTACACATTTCATTGTATGGCCAGTCCTTTCTTTCATTTCATGGGAAAGCAGGCTAAAAATCAAGAGCTGGAGAGTGGAACCCTGAAAAAAGCCCAGGTTAGGACTGGAGCCATATTTTTGGGTCACCTCCATGACAAGACTATAGGCTGTCTGAGATGGCAGAAGAGACTCCATGTTTGATACTGAAGTTGATTGCTACAGGCAATCAATCAGGCACTCAACTCACAAGGAAGTAGCCAGGTTCCCCTGGGGGGATACCCCCCATCAACAGTTCAATTCTTTGGCATCCTAAGGGCATAACTAACAATCAAGGTATGCAGAACAATTATCTACCTCTTACAATCCTCCAAGAATCTGCCTTACAATGCAGCCTTCCCTAGAAATCAAATCACAAGAAAAGCTAGGGCCATCACACATTTCCTAACCCTTGTTAACTAGACAGGTAACTCAAATCAGATAACTCAAGGCCTTGCACACAAAAGCTCATACCTTGAATAAACCTTTGGTCTTAAAGGTGCCACTGGACTCTACATTTGTTCTACTGCTTCAGACCAACACAGCTGACCATCTGGATCCATACCCAGAAGATTCAATCGCCCCACCCTCCCCATCATCCCATATGGCCCCTATCACCCCCCCCCTTCTTTATGACAATCTTCCACTTTACCTTTAAAAAATTCATGGCAACAAACAACAGTCAGGATTCTGACTTCCCCAAATTAGAGAGTATACCAAAACTCTCCAGCTACAGACAGAATTCTGGAAACATGGCCCAATGACAGAAAGGTTCCAAAATTGTCACCAAAATTCAAGAGGATTTGGCCCCATCAAAATACAGGATAAAATAACATCTTAACCATGGGAAAATTATGGTCAATCTGATCCCTATCACTGAAATAACTAAACAGAGATCCATTCCTTCTATGTGGGGAAACCCCCCCCCCATTTGGAATGTCTTCAACCACATTAAAACTTCTGGACCAGGAAATGTATGAAACTTCTTGCTCTGCCTCTTTTAAGCCGCTCACTCTTCCTTATTCCGAAGTCCTATCCCTTCACTGAAGTACTGATCAGAAAGAACCTGCATCTTCTGCTCTCCAACCCTGCCCCTCTCTCTATGGATAATATGGTCATACTTCCACCAAGGGTTAGTTCTGACTTTCTAGACCAGCCTGAGGGAGGAATCTCTGGGACAGCTTCCACTAGGAGTCATCTGATTTGCTTGCTGGTGCTTATTCTCCAAATGCTTGTGTGACATATATGTCATCTGGTTATTTGCAGTTTAGCTATTCCCCCCACATTTTTTTGGGGGGGCGGTATTTTTGCATTCTTGTGTGTGCGCGCCCATGCCTGGAAGTCATGGCGACCTCTGGTGACTCCTACTGGGGCACGGAGGACATTCAGAGAAGTGGCTTGATAGCCTGCCTCTGGCCTCCCGGTCTTGGTATTCTCTGGAGGTCTCCCATCCAAATACTTTCCAAGGTTGGCCCTACTTAGCTTCTGAGATCTGACGAGATCGGGCTTGCCTGGGCTATCCAGGTCAGGGCAGCAATTCCTGCAAATTTCTTATTTTACATTGTTCTTTCAATCTACCTGAACTTTCCTACATTTCTTTCTGTTCAATAAAGTTTGAAACTTTATTGTCTTCCTCACTGCCTGCCACTCCAAACCCCTCCCTGAGATATTGCCCCCAAGTCTGTGTTCATTTCAAGCACAGACCAACGATCCATTGACATGGGAGTGCATTTTTGAACAGTTTACATGTGAATTCTGAGCATTTCTGGTAACAGGAATTTCAGCAAGTCAACTTCTCTTGGCTACTTATCTCAGAGGTAATTTTGCATTAGACCAACAAGACAAATCAGCAAACGTGAAAGACTTTTTGGGTAAATTTTGTAGGCTAAAAGATAGTAAGAACATAAGAACATAAGAGATGCCAATGTTGGATCAGGCCAAAGGCCCATCCAGTCCAACACTCTGTCACACAGTGGCCAAAAATACCAGGTGCCATCAGGACGTCCACCAGTGGGGCCAGGACATTAGAAGCCCTCCCACTGTTGACCCCCCCAAGCACCAAGATGACAGAGCATCACTTGCCCCAGAGTCCCTATCTATACCTTGTGGCTAATAGCCACTGATGGACCTCTGCTCCATATGCTTATCTAATTCCCTTTTGAAGCCGTCCATGCTTGTAGCCGCCACCACTTCCTGTGGCAGTGAATTCCAAGTGTTAATCACTCTTTGGGTGAAGAAGTACTTCCTTTTATCCGTTCTAACCCGACCGCTCAGCAATTTCATGGAGTGCCCACGGGTTCTTGTATTGTGAGAAAGGGAGAAAAGTACCTCTTTCTCTACCTGCTCTTTCCCATGCATAATCTTATAAACCTCAATCATGTCACCCCTCAGTCGTCGTTTCTCCAAGCTAAAGAGCCCTAAGCGCTTTAACCTTTCCTCATAGGGAAAGTGTTCCAACCCTTTTATCATTCGAGTTGCCCTTTTCTGCACTTTTTCCAAAGCTATAATATCCTTTTTAAGGTGTGGTGACCAGAATTGCACACAGTATTCCAGATGAGGTCGCACCATTGATTTATATAGCGGCATTATGATATTGGCTGATCTGTTTACAATACCCTTCCTAATAATCCCCAGCATAGCATTGGCCTTCTTTATTGCAGTCACACACTGTCTCGACATTTTCAGTGAGTTATCTACTACAACTCCAAGATCTCTCTCTTGATCAGTCTCTGCCAGTTCAGACCCCATCAACGTGTATTTATATTTAGGATTTTTGGCTCCAATGTGCATCACCTTGCACTTGGCCACATTGAACCCCATTTGCCATGTTGACGCCCACTTGCCCATCTTTGACAGATCCCTTTGGAGTGCCTCACAATCCTCACTGGTTTTCACCACCCTGAACAACTTCGTATCATCCGCAAATTTAGCCACTTCACTGCTTACTCCCAACTCCAAATCATTAATTAACAAGTTAAAAAGCAGTGGACCAAGTACTGATCCCTGCGGTACCCCACTGCTTACCCCCCTCCACTGAGAGAACTGCCCATTTATACTCACTCTCTGTTTTCTATGAATTAGCCAGTTTTTGATCCATAAAAGGACTTGTCCTTTTATCCCATGATTTTTGAGCTTACTTAGGAGCCTTTGATGAGGAACTTTATCAAAAGCTTTCTGGAAGTCAAGGTAAACAATATCTATTGGATCCCCCTTGTCCACATGTTTGTTCACCCCCTCAAAGAACACTAACAGGTTAGTGAGACAAGATCTTCCCTTACAGAACCCGTGCGGAGTCTGCCTCAATAGGTTTTGTTCATCTATGTGCCTACTAATTCTTTCCTTAATAATGGTTTCCACCAATTTACCCGGTATCGACATCAGACTGACTGGCCTGTAATTTCCCGGATCTCCTCTGGAACCCTTTTTAAAGATGGGAGTGACATTAGCTACCCTACAGTCCTCAGGAATGGAGGCAGATTTTAAGGAAAGATTACATTCCCCCCCCCTCCCCAGGAGATCCACAAGTTCACATTTGAGTTCTTTCAGAACTCTCGGATGTATGCCATCTGGGCCTGGTGATTTATCAGTTTTTGTCTATTAGGACCTCCTCTCTCGTCACCTCAATCTGACTCAGGTCTTTCAACACCCCTCCTGAAATCAGTGGTTCTGGAGTGGGCAAGCACTTCTCATCTTCCACAGTGAAGAGAGAGGCAAAAAATGCATTTAGCTTCTCAGCCATTTCCCTATCATCCTTCAGTACTCCTTTTACCCCTTGGTCATCCAAGGGCCCCACAGTGAATGATCATATATTCCACAATGAAACTCTCCATGGTTTTAAAAATAAGCAAAGCGATAAACACTTAAATTTTGCTCTATTAGTGGAGAAGGCTTCATCAGTCTCCCCTAGTTCAGCTCCATCTCTATCAAGCAACAATATAAAATGCATAGCTACCTGAAGCAGTCTTCAAAACATCTGGTCATATAATCCCAGACAAAATCAGTGCTTAAGGATGTGATCAACAGGTTGACTGTTTTAACAATCTCAGATGCATTCTTGTTTTCTTTGATTGCACTAGGATAGGAACAGAGTCAATAAAAGGATGATAAATAGCAAGCAGTAATTTTCAAAATTCTGAACTGTCAGGCAGAGGGTTCTAAGAATAACAATACTGAATATATTTCAAAGAGCTTAAACATAACTGTAAAGATTTAAAGAGCAAAACCTCTTAAATTGTTCACCTTTGAACCGTGCAACAATTAATTGGTTCTAAGTTGTGAGCAGTGGGAAGGAATAAGAGAGAATACACGGCTATTATAAGCTAAACCAAACTCTCTCCAAAGGTCATCCTAGTACTAGCCCTCTCTAATAGTTGCCTTCTTTCATAGTCATATAAGGTGAGTGTGCATGGGAGGCCACAATTCCCCGCACCACACGCTAGACTTTTGGTGCTGTCATAGCAGGGTCCCAGGTGAAAGAGACCACAGAAGTTATGGTTCTATAGATTCTGAAATTCTAATAGGGCCACAAGAATTGCATTACAACTGCTCCTAGGTTTTGCTGCACATTGTAAAGATCAGCAGGAGTTCTAGCTTCCATGGATTCCTATAAACCCTACTGGTTGGTTAAGGTATAGGGTTGCTGTGAGGATAAAGTAGAGGAGGGAACTATATTATTCATGAATCCTTTTCACTGGGGCACTTCCAAAGTGATAAAAGTGCAATGGAGGCCCCACAGTGAGCTCCTATGACAGATTCTCAAATAATATTATACATCTCTTGCTGGAAGCAACCTTTTGAACATGGGACAAATCTAAAGACAAAATGGCTCCTGCAATGTCTCCTTCAGCTACCTTTCTAGGGCAGTCATGGTTTCCACTGGGATTGTCACCCATGCTGGCCCTCTATGGCACTCCGCTAATCAGACTCATTTTATAGATATCTCTTCTAACAGACAACTTAGAGAGAGAAAGCAACTTTGGAACAATCATGTGATTCCGGTCTACCTTGGTTTGAATATCTTCAAATTTCCAATTTATTTTACTCTCCTACTTTACATAAAAGTTTGAATAGACCTCTTACAAGTTTGGAACGTGGTATGAACTCTAAATCTCTTTGCTTAAAAGGCCTAATTTTGACACTTTATAAGGCTTTATTACTGAATACAAAACTCTCTTTAATATCATACCGGGTGGCATGGCAAAAAGATCTGGGTATAAATCTTACTACTTATCAATGGAAAAAGTTATGAACCTCACATCATCATACCTCACTTTCCTTACCTATTCATCAACAGGTGATAAAAATTTTGCTTTATTAGCATCTTACCCCAGCAAAACTCTCATGTATTAATCCACACAATTGTCATCATGCTGAAAACTATGTAGGGCAAAAGGCTCTTACCATTGTTGGTGGTCGTGTAGTACCACGCCCCCTGACATCACCGGAAGTGACAGAAGGCCACACCCCCTGACATCACCGGAAGTGTGTCAGAAGGCCCGGCTACTTACCCTCCTGCTTCATCCTCATTCCCAAACGGAATGAGGATCGAAGCAGAGGGCGGGGTAAAGAAGGGGGCGGGGCTTCACCACGTGACCGCCCCGCCCCCTAGAGGTTCTCTTCCGGAGCTCCATACCTGAGAGCTCCCCCCCGACTAGAGCCCTGAGTAAAGTTAATAGATTCTGGGGTGAAATCATATCACAAATTCATTTGATAACAGGTCATTATATCCCTAAAGATCCAACCTTAATTCTTTTGGACTTATGGCCAAGAATCAGGATTCCTCAAAACACTAAAGACCTCATTTCCACCCTTTGATACCAGCAAAACATGCGCTTGCTTCAAATTGGAGTTTACAGAACCTCCCCTCAATGCATCAGTGGTACCAAAAGGTATGGGAATGTTTTTTACTGGATAAGACGTCAGACTGGATTGTGCAGCAAGATAGGCAGGTTACCTCTACTATTATTATGGCCAAATGGTCATTATGGCTCAATGCTTTTGCTGACCCAGAAGAAACTTTACAGAAAGCACCTTTAATTGGTTCACAAACCTTATATCTTTACCATTAAGTAGTTGAAGGATCTTTAAAACTGGCTTGAACTCCATTTATTTTTATTTTTTTGAGTGATAAGCTCAAAATTAGCAGATAACTTGTAATGGCAATCCTTGATTCACAACAGACTTAATGATAATTTTGTAATTGTTTTCATTTATACTTTGCTAAGTACTGCATTGTATTTTATCTCAATCTTCAATAAACAGTTTAAAAAAAACTAGGCTGGACTTAAAGTGAGCTTAGTTTAGGACCAAGTTCAATTCAACATGAATTCATCCATTTGAGGAAAGAGACCATCAAGTTCTGATTTCACGGATTCTGAAATCAATTTGAGTCAAGGGGACCTCAGCTATTACTAGATCTAAGCTTTATATCAAGCTACTTAATTTCAGTGGTTTCCTTAAAAAACAACATTAAAACACAATTCTAAAGGCAGAAAGATTTTACCTGACACAATACTTGTGGTTAGTTGAAAAACTCACGGAAAAAAGGCCTCAAAACAGAAGTGACACTGGGAAACCCATGAACAGAGTTCCCAACATTTCTTATTCTCTAAAAATCAGGTCTGATTCAGATTAGGACTACAGCATCAGGGGAAGAGAGGTTTCAAGCATTTTCCCCTGCACCGTTTATAGGTTTACTCCAGTGGTGCACACAATAACCTTCTGGAGTCAATTCAGATCAGAAAAAGGGCATGGGGTGGGGAAGGGCAAAAACAAAAACCTTCCCTTGCACTACAGTCTTGACCTGAATTGGGCCCACATACCTGGTTTGTAGACAAAAAAAGAGAGGCTAGAAAGTTTGTTCATGAAGTTCCAAGAACACGTCTGTCTGAATCCCAGTGCCTATTGTTCTTTATTTACTTAGCAAGATAAATAATCGTAAGCAGAACTTTACTAACTTAGTAGAATTAATGAGTTTGAGTAGTCAGTCAGTTTGAACTATAAAGACTAAGATACCTTGAAAGGACACTGCCACTCTGACTGTAGCTAAGTTTAAGATCAGAACCCAGTGTATCCTTGCAGTAAGAATAAAAGGCTCTAATAACTTCAAGAAACACGTCACCAACAACTGGTGGTCCTGCAACAAAAGAAAAAAAAATGAATCCAACCTAAGTTGTATTATAATTAAACTGTGGTCCTGAACATAAAAGAGAATGTGGGGGCACATTTTGTTTTCAACTTGGCAGTTCAAAGTATGATCAAATTATCAAGCATTAGTCTAATTTCACTAGGTGTAGGAACTGGGATGTGCAAATCAAAATTTCCATCCCAAAACCTTGTGGTTTGTGACTTGCTGTTTGTGAGGCTCCCCAAGTCCCAAGACAATCTCCCTGCTGTCCACCATCCCACTACCAAAGAGGGCAAGTAGCCCCCTGGCCTCAGAATTGGTAAGGAGAGGGGGCTCCAGCACCCAGGTTCTCTCCCTTCCCCAGACTGGTGCTCTCTTTCTCCCTCCCTTCCTCATCTGAGCTCAGTCTCTTGCTCCTTCCCTGGCCAAGTGTGGTGCTTTCCCTTTTATAGCATTCCCTGCCCCCACCTGGCCTTCTCTAATCTTCTTCCACCTGCGCCATCTGGGAGATTGTTAAAGTAAAGGGAAGCCCTGCCTGCCTGTTTCCCCTGCTACCTGTCTCCCTGCCCTGCTCCTTCCCCTTGCTGCTCAGAGCTGCCTCTTAGCCTCCCACATTCTAGCCTTCCCCAAGTCCCAGATCAGCCATGCCTTCTGACTACGCTCCTTTCTCCCTCTGCCTGGCTCCCTGCCTTATTCTCTGCTGTGTCAGAATGATCTGCTTAGCTTCCCGCCACCTTCCTTTCCTGGCCCTCCTTGCATGGGTGAGTCTGGGTCCAGGCTGTCCTCGGCTCTTTTATATTGTTGTGTCATCTTTCAAGACAAAGAGAACTGCCAGATGTCTATCTTGCGTTCAACAGACAGCTAGGAAAGCTGTGTAGCTTAGCAGTTCCTAGGCTGTAAGTCTCTCTCTCACACCCCTGCCCTAACCCTTAAGACTTACAGCAATATTAATCTGGCATTCAGATGGCCACAATACAGCTTGCACAGTTGTTTGATTCTGTAAAGCAGTATGCATTTCAGGTGTAGATGAGATATCTGAAATTCACCACAATGTTAACAGACTTTAATTCTGTATTCAGAATATTTCTATGCCACCTCTTCAGAGTCCTGCTTGGGGTAGCTTACAATTAAAAATCACAATATTAAAAAACAAGCCATTGGACAGAAGTTACATAAAACCCATCCATAAAACAGAAGCAGACCATTAAACAGTTGGTTAAGATAAACTCCTAATTACTAACATGATAGAAATTACTTTGCAGACTTTTAAAATCCTCAATTTTTGGTATGTAACTCCACAAAAGCTGGCACAGATCACACCTTCAGCCTCCCCTCTTTGTTGGAGGAAATGTGGCAATCTGGGTCATTATATGCCTTGCTGGCTGGAGTGTCCAAAACTGCAAACCTTTTTGGAAGGATGTCTTGCAACAAATAAAGCTTATAACTGGTTATGAGGTACAGTGTAATGTTTTGAACATTTTTTGAACAGATGGCAAGTTAAGGTTCAGTCTTCTGATACCGTTAAGCGTATATCTTTATTGTTATCAGCAGCTAAAAACGCAGGGGCTTATTCTTGGAAGAACACTGTAGGCCCAAAGAGACAACACTGGCACACCAAGCTATGGAAACTTTATATAATGTCTAGAATTACAGATAGGATTAATGAAGCGAACTGTTGTAAATTTTCTGTTAATTTTGCTATTATTTGGCTTCCTTTGCTTGAATATTTGGTACATCAGGATGTCATACCTGATAAAATTAATAGTCTAAACTTGTGGTAAAACATGATTCCTCTCTTTTATAATGGTTGCAATCTGTCGGTAATGTATATTTACCTTTGTAATGGTAATGTATTATTTACCTTGAGCTAACTTACCTGTTACTGTTTGAATGGTTGTTTTAGTTTGTATTTTGTATTATTTTTGGATTTTCAATAAAATTTTAAAAAGAAAGGGGGAAAAAGATAAACTCCTAATTAAAAGCCTGAGTGAAAGGGCGTGTTCTAGCCTCGAACATAAAAGAAAGTGCCAGGTGAGCCTCAAGGGGAACGGCATTCCAAAAGCAAGGTGCCACCACAGAAAATACCCTGAATCTAGTTGCCACCTGCCTCTGAATGTGGGGGCACAGAGAACTGTTTATGAGAGGCACAGCTTAACAGGTGGGCTGGACAGTATGGGAGGAGACAGTCCTGCATGTATCCTGGTCCAAGCCATTTAGGACCGTCAAGGTAATAACCAGCGCTTTGAATTGTGCCTGGAAACAGATGGATAACCAGTGCAGCTCTTTCAGCACAGGGTGAAATGACTCCTGTAACCAACCACTGACAGTAGCCTGGCCACCAGTTTGTATCAACTGAAGTTTACAAACTATTTTCAAAGGGAGCCTCACAGAGTGCCTTATAGTTACCTGACTTCAGTGCAGTCAGAGCATGGATCACTATGGTCAGATCATGCTTTTCAAAGAATGGCCACAGTTGGCAAACCAGTAGGAGCTGATAAAAGGCACCAAGTGACATGAAGGAGACCTGTGCCTCCAACCATAGGAAAAGGATCCAAGTAGCACCCACAAACTACAAACCTACTCCTTCAGAGGGAGTTCAACCACCCCCCCAGGACAGGTTGGCTCGACAGTCCTAAAAGAAGCTTCTCCACTGACCAACAGCACCTCAGTCTTGTCTGGATCAAGCTTCAGTTTATTGGCCCTCATACATCCCATTACCTTCTCCACGCACCTATTTAGGACTGGCTTAGCTGTTAAGGAGAAGGTTCTGAGTGTCCACAAGCCTAAATCACATCAGATAATGGTTGTTCCAGGACAAGAACACCCTCAGCCAAAGACAACAAACAGGGACCTCGATGCCAAACCCATGATTGCCTCTTCCAGCTCAGCAAGAGACACTGACGGGTAGCAGAGTGGGCAGAGTGGGCAGTACAATAACTGGGTACACTAACTGGGTACACTAACAAAATCCCTAATCTGTCCTGAGTCCCCAGTGTCAGGTACATACACTCAGAATTGGTGCTCCGGCTAAGAAAGCATCTTGTGAATTCGACAGAGGCTCAAGAGGCTATGACCACCTCCCATATGTTATCTTTAGAGAAATTTCTTACCTATTTCAGGTTTGTCAAGTAGGCTTGTGAGAATACGAAAAGGTTTCAAATATGCATGGTGCTGTTCCTCCATGTCACAGTCAGCAAACTTCTGATGTAAGATTTCAATCAATCCCTATTGAAACAATATTAAAATATAAAAATACTGTAAGCAAAAATATCATTAGCAGCGTTCCTTGTAAAACCTGAATGCTAATGATAGAACACTACTAATCCTTATTAAAACACAATAAAGCAAACTAATTCAGAGGTACAAAGCCATTTTCAGCTTCATGAATAGGCAGCCTAATATTAGGGTTGTCCCACAACTGCAGGGAGCACTGCTGTAGGTAGCATAATCTTGGAAAGATGAACCACCACCTAGCTCTGCTCTTGGCAGGCAAGTCCCACACACAAGTCCCTAAGATTGGTGTTATATTATATGAGAATCCCTGGTTGAACATATATATGTATTTTAAAGGTATCACATATACTGAGCCTGTGCGTGAAGTATATTGCTCTTTGGCCTGTTCATTTGCCTTTGCCCCCCATCTCTGACTTGGTGGCTAATGTTGCTGTGAAAGGCTGGTGAAGATGACATGAGAACTGTGTTTCAAGTCCACAGATGTTTGAGAAACTTATGTAAAGGACAAAACAAATCCAGAAAATTCACTAGGGAGGGATATTGATTGACAGAAACCAAGTAGGGTTTTAGGGGAATTTGCCAAGCAGCCCAGGGGTTGAATTATTTCTAATAAAGAAATTGTAGCTTTTTGACTGATAAGAGGAAAGTTCCCAATCCACAAGGTTGTTTATCATGTATTTTCCTTGTGAAGTGACATGTGAAACAGGGTTAAACACACTGATGGGCCAAACTAACATAAGGGGTGAGAGAACATTAAGCATCATCTACCTTGTCTGAAGGCTTTCAGGGGACTGTTTGTCCTACTGAGGGAAGTGCTTAACTGACCAGTGGTGTGAGTTTCTATGGGAAGGGCAATCCATTCAAGGGTATAAAAGAGAAGTTAGGGATTCTTTCTTTCTCTCCGTCTTATCTTTCTTCTGAGTGGGTCAAGTGCACTGCTGTAAAACACTGCTCCCAGCCCAACTACTCCAAGCAGAAGAGAACTGGTCAACTTGTTCTACTTGTCATATTGCTCTTAGAAAATGGTAAGAGATAAGCCGAGATAAGCCGAGAAGGACTGGTAAGAGATAAGCCGAGAAGGACTGGCCGCGAAAATGGGCGCCGACCCCAGTGGACCGCCGAGGAAAGAGAGGAACCGCCGAGGAAAGAGAGCCGGAACAGCGAACCCACCTGGGTGCCGGTAGGCAGCCCCAACCCCTGGAACATGTGGCCATAGTATTAGGATTAACCTGCACTTGCAGCACAATTGTAAACCGCTCTAAGACCTCCGGGTATAGACGTTGAATGTTAAATAAATAAAATAAAATAAGATAATTAGTTTTAATCCTGTATTATGCAGTTAGAAGGGTGAGTAGAATTAGCAAAGCTAATGTGATGGTAAGATTCATTTACAATGCTCATCTCACCTTTTTTAGATTGTAGAACATGGCAAAAAAGTTATGTAATGTATCTTGATGCCTTAAACCTTAATTTATGTATGCAACACAAGTTATTATTATCATATTTGCATCGCAATAAAGTAGAGGAATAGGTCAGAATACTTAATGTTGTGTGGTTCCTTTTAAATGAGATTTTGTTTCTTTATTGAAAGGACTAAAAATACCTTTAAAACTATTGAAGGTATGCAGACCTGAAAGGGATCTGTCTCCATGGTCCCAGTCTCTGGATTTAAGTATTCACACATGAAGCTATGTGGAGAATTATGTCTTATCCGTACATCGCTACGGACAATAAAGGGGAACAAACTTAACCCTGAAACCTGGGATCAAGAACCTAAAGAGGTAAGTCAAACAGAGTAGAAGGCCAACAATTAAAACTTAATATATAAAAATACACAAATTTATTAGCAAAGAATTAAAAAACATATAAGGGCTCAATTACACCTCAAACAAAAATACCAAAATCAAACACGCGGGGGCCAATGGACTAGACCTGATGAGTTTCATCTGTGAATACTTAAATTCAGAGACTGGGACTATGGACAGATAAGACAGATCTTTCTACAAAACTGAGACAAGCCCTTGATTTGCCAAAAACCTGAAATCTAAAATAAAGTTACATTGGGGGTTTAAAACCCATCAAAATCATAGAAGCAGCACCTGTAGCTTTAAGAAATGAATGCCTTCAGTGGCAGTTTTTAGAAAACCACAAAAGTATTGCCAGCTTTCATTGTCTTTTTTTGGTCAGCAAAAGGCAGAGAGAGGGGCAGAGCCCTTTTCAGGACTGTTTTGACCTTTGAGGAAGGATTCATCTCAGCCAGGATTGGACATGGGGGCTGCCAGGAGGGGGGAAAGAGGAAATAGTATGGGGGGGATACAAAGGAAAGTGAGGTAGTCCCACAAGTCCTTGCAGGTTTCCCACTGTGTGGCTGGGCCCAGCTGGGTACATGGCACCACATAACTAGGCCAGAGTTTTCTCCGGGAGAGGCTGCCAGGGGAGGGAAGGAGGGAAAGCTGAAGGGGGGACAAATAAAGGTAGGCTGGCTGGTGGGTGGGAAGAAAAGAAGGAAGCAGGCAAAGGGGAGCAGCTACAGGGGTTTTCAGGAAAAGAGGAAATAGTAGGGGAGGGGAAAATGAGCTGCCTCCTGCAAGTTCTTGTGCCCTCCACCTTTCTCCCTTTGTGTATATGTATATAAGCAAATCTTTAATACTAAAGAACACCAGTGCCAAGATAAATTGACTTAGCTTTGACACTAGTTTCCTTTTTGCCTGCTTCCTGCTCAATGTCCTCAGAATACTGAAAGTGGTGGTGTGATGGAGGAATATTCATCACAAAAAGACCATGGGAATGAGAGTTAGCTCTCCCCCTTTTCTCCAGTATGTGGCCACAATCCTCTTCAGCTATTCACCAAGAATGTTTGGGTGGGGGGGGGGGATCTAATGATGGATTCCAGTATCATATGCAGTTTGGCCTTGTCTATTACAGCAGAATAAGCAAAACCTTGAACCCTGTATTAATACTGAACCAGACCCACAATGCATCGTAATAATGGTTACACCCTTCAAAGAATATTGTATATGCCTACTTCGACTAGAAGGTCTTTGGAATATTTTTCAAAAAAATAGAGGGCATGGTCTTCTAAGGACATTGAAACAGTTGAATCTGGAACAAAAGTACCTCCTTTGATATCAGAACCTAAGAATGGAACAGAGAAATATGGAAAGTAGTTTGCACATTATCATGAACTGAAACTTGTTTTCAGGTTAATGGCACAAGTAATTACAGAAAAGATGAACAACTTTTTATTCCTCCCTACACTCTGACAGTTCTTCTTTACATCATGAGTGTATCAGTCAAGTTCAGCAGAAATCATAGGCCCTACTGATTGGCAGTAAGATCCACCTAAAACCAAGCACAGTGCCAACTCTGGTAAAGCCACATTCCTGCATTTGTATGTCATGGATACCTGCATTTACTTAAACCATCATAGGAGAATGGAGGTGAGACAGACGAAGGCAACAGGCATGTGTATAACCCTGGCAACATTTCTGAGTTCATCCATATTAACTGTGGTTAAACTAAAGGTCTGAATGCAGCCTAAAGGAAACCAACCTTGTGATTTATGATTAATCTAACATGGAATTCTTGAGAGGCAGTCCTAAACAGACTTGCATACAAATAACAATTTTTCTGTGAAACAGATTTCACTATGTGAACGTTACGTTTCATATAGTAAAAAACATAGATATGTGGCATACATTTACTTAAAGATTTATGTGCCAGTTATAAAAACATTGTGCATTCATCTGACGTGATGAGCACAATTTTTTTCTTACACATGACAAGCCATTTTATTCAGTAAGAAGGGTGTCCATGAAGACAGCATGTCTCAGATGACACCTGCAAATGATATTTTATAGCTTAACAGAAGCTAATGAACATTAATATTCAGTAACTCGAGGTACCTCTAAAACTTTAAAATACTGTGACATTTCAAAAGATAGTTTCAGAGGGTAGCCATGCTGGTTTGTGGCAGAACAGCTAGATTTAAGTCCAACTGCACCTCAAAAGCTCATACTTCGAAAATGTTATTGGTCTCTAACATGCTGCTGAACTCAAATCTACTTTCAAGCCCACTCAAGCACAACATGAAAGCAGTATGACTGTGATCTGTGCAGTACCTAACAACCATGCATATAACCTTCTGTTCAAGGACATGTCTCTTCTTAAGAGAGTCTGGGCAGCTGCTGATAGAAGATGGATTACATCGGACCTAGACAGTGGTATAGCACTTTCACTGGGATCCTAAACAAAGAACAGAAACAAGTCAACTGTACATGCACTCTTTACAAACAAAAAGGAAACCCAGAAACAAATACAACCTTAATACTATGGAGGAAACATTAGCAGTATCAGAGAGAATAAGAAAATCTGCAATTCTTTGAAATTTGACAGAACCATAATAGTAGATGTTCTTCATGCTCTGGATATGACAGGAATGTCTGGTGACAACGCATTCTCACCCCAAGGTTTGTTTACCTTAACATGGGCTTCATTCCTTGCTTTCACAAAAAGAATAAGTTACCACAATTTTCAGCATTACCATTTTCTTATTTCTTGATTCACTCCATAGTAAATTTAGTTTCATAAAGGTAAAGCAGTATGATGTTTCAGGGGCCATGCTTGGCAGTGAGCTACTTGAAAAGCTGCCATTTTATCCCTTTCTTTTTAAGGTGTTTATCCCAGAACACAATACACTTATCTGTGCAGGTATTCAGAAACAGATTCCCGCCCCCCCTTTGAGTGAGCCTAGATGTCATCTGCATACATAAGAAATGTATGAAGATTTAGTAACAGAAAACAGAGGGGCTACCAAATGCAGGAAATGCAACAAGAAGTACTACTGCAATTCAGGTAAAGGATGGAAGTGCCCAGTTTGATCAGATATTCAATAGCAGCATGACAGGCAAAGTGGGAGCCTGCAATGAAAGGAGAGAAATCAACCCACAGCAAAAACAGGTAGGGGTTGAATGTTTAGGATTCTTTAGTGATGGGAATCAAGTTCTTATTTACAGAACAAGTTCTAAAAATTTATATCTGCCTGCAACTCTATAGGAACAATGGCACCATCAAACATAGCTCTACCACCAAGACTTTTCTCTCTCCCCTAATGTGCATTTTCCACTGACAGGTATGTTTTATGCTACTTGCTGTTATTAGATACAGGATGCCAATGCTATTAGAGCTGTTATCTTTAAGATGAATTCTATTACAAAAAAGCCACTATAAGTACAGTTAACTATTGTATCTCTATATTGTACTTTTCTCATTTCTTTGTAAGCTACCTAGGGGGAAAATCTGGTTGAGAATGTAGGGTATATGGCTTTAAATAAACAAATACCACATCTGGTGATTCAGAACTAACACTGCAAATTGTTCTTGGCACTTATGTGCCTGTAAAATAAACCTTATATTGAACCTCAGCTAATGCTTACCAAAGATGTGTAAAGAGGGAAGAAGAAGAGAACCACCTCCAAAGTGTTTCTTTGTACAAGAACATTTGAATCCAGCATGGCCACACAAAGGGCTTTGACCTGCAGTGAAGGGGCGGGGGGAGAGAGAGAATCGCATTTCATCTAACAAAGCTGATTTGACACCATTCAAATTAACTGACAGGATTTCCTTAGCAAATTCAAAGTTTTCCAAGTCTGACGGGGGTAAAAAACCTAGCACTTTATATTACCCCTTTATGTTTCCACATAAGCCGAAACTTTACAAGACTGGCATCTCTAAGAGAAAGCCAAGCCCGAGTTAAGAACTCATAACCTCAAATGGCAATATTCTTGCAAAACCATGGGAAAACAAACCACTTACTCTAAATTCAAACCAAACTAACAACTTAGTTTTTCTGGACATTGTTTACAGTTTTATTCTGGTAGAGTCAAAAAGGACTTTAAACTTTAAAACTCATATCTGTCAAGTTAAATAACATAAAGAGGCAAAATGTTAACTTCTTACTTCATGATACAATAAGTCATGGAGGGAAAATTAAGTTCCTGTAATTTTTTTGTGAACTCCTGGACAAAAACAAATATAATTAACTGGGTTTCTAACTATACTGAAATTCAAGACATCTGCACTGAAGAAGTGTGGCTTCTGAACTTATGTTCCCAAGATAGAGTGGAAGAATCAAGTTTCTCTTGTGCAATCCTGATACTGACATTTGTCACAGTGTGGAGACTGGAGAACCTTCTCCACATGAGGAATAACTATTTGCCTTAAATAGCAGCTTGTATAAAAACCCTGTGCAAGTCAGAGCCTAGTCTGCAACTGCAAGCTGTTTCACAGGCTACACCACCACACACAAGGGCTTACACATCCCTAAAAAAAGAAGCAAGGGTTGTGATACATATACATATGTTTGGAATGCAGCTAGTCCAGTGAAAAATTATTTTAGATCTTTGATCCCCGATGATGGAATGAAAGAGTTTTACAAAGAAAACATATGGACATGTACCTTCCTTCAGATTATTTCACATACTGCCTTACCCTTTTATTTATTTATTCAAGTTATAACCCATGGACCATTGCTTCCTTGAGTGCCCCCAGGAACAGCCCCTCTAGGAAGGACTAGTTGATAATTTCCCTTAGGGCATCTCAAACCCCTCATGGCCTGCTTTAATGAGCCAGGAAGGTCATGGCTCAAGGCAGCATGTGGTTGGACGTACAGTGAAGAGCGATCTGTCAACTTCCTCCAGGCTGCGTGGGCTGAAATGATCAAAAAACGAAATGGAAGACGTGCTTGGGGCCTTGAGCACACTCACTGTTTCAACTGTGGCAGGGAGGTCATGGTGGAGCGACAAGACTATCTATGAAATAGCTCACAAATGCCTCACAGCCAATGTCCAATTCCCTCGCGTTTGGCCTGCCTTGTGGCAATGTTGTTATAGACCAAATCGTTCTAAACAATTGGGCTGGGCGTGAGCTCGTGGATGCAATCGAAGTCGCGTAGTGCTCTCTCTTCACTGTTTTGACTGCCATCTCATAGGATCTCATAAACGTCCTATAAGATGCTCTTGTAGTCTCATCATGAGTGTACTGCCACTGTCTCTCTAGCTGTCTCAGCTCTCGCTTCATGAGCCGTAGCTTCTGGGTGAACCAGGGAGCAAGCCTAGAGCAAGAGCGCAGAGGGCGCTGGGAAGCGATCTCATTGATGGCTGCAGACAGCCGGCTATGCCAGTCCTCTACAAGCTCATCCAGTGAGCCGCCAGGGGGCATCGGATCCCGTAGAGCCATCTGGAGCTGCATTGGGTCCATCTGGCTCCGTGGGTGAGCTAAAATAAACAGGGTCAGGGCAGCACATTCAGGCGGGCCCTCAGGGCATGGTGGTCTGACCATGGGACTGCCAAAGCAGTAACTCGGTCCACTGTTACCCCCACCGTGAAAATCAAATTGAGCATATGCCCAGCTCGGTGAGTGGGGGCTGTTACATATTGGGAGAGTTCTAGTGCCACCATGGACAACACCAGGTTCGTTGCCTGAGTAGAGGTTAAGTCATCAGCAGGGACATTGAAATCACCCAGGACTATCAGTCTAGGGTGTTCCAATACCCAGCCTGATACGGTCTCCATCAGGGACAGTAGGCTATTGCCCGGTGCGCCTCCCACACCAGGCCGGCACACTCAATGCCCATGATCTTTGGCGACGGGAGTGCCCTGAAGGAGTAAGCCTCCCGGATGAATAGAGCCACTCCTCACCCCCTAATCCGTGATTGGTGAAGGATAGAGAACCCGGGAGGAGCAAGCTGGGAGAGAGCTACCGTCTCCCCATCCCGCATCAAGGTCTCGGTCACGCATGCCAGGTCTACCTTCTGCTCTAGCAGGAAGTCCCGAAGGACCATGGTCTTATTATTTATAGACCCGGCATTACACAACACCAATGCCGGAGGGGGGGGTTCAATCATCCTAGCCTCACTGCCAACATCCTTCGGGATGGGGCGCAGGCTGGAAGGGGGCTGAGCTCTTCTATTTCTCTGCCCCCTTCCCTTCGTTCCATGCCTGGCCCCACGGCTATACTTTCCTCTCCCCCGCTATACTTTGCTGTGGAGGAACAGTTTTAATAGCCCCAGAATGACCTTTCACTGGGATGAGTATTTGTTGTGTCCTGACCCGGCCATGTGCTCGATCTAGTTTCGGCTGATCTCACATGCGGTCAGGCAGAGTACCTGAGCTTCGCTTCAGAATACAATAGATGTTACGATCCTAGTTCTCTGCCTATCGGGAACCTAGGAATAATCTAATCACTGTAGATAGACCATTCATGGGTGTTGGGGGTTTGGGGGGGTGTTTTCCTTGGGGCATATAAGCCGGCCTGCGAGCCGGCTAAAGTTTTGTTCTTGCTGAATAAAAGTACGTTAGCTGAAATCACTCATCTGTCTCAGTACTTCTCAGTATTTTTGTGAAAGTCTGAGATCTGTGCCTTGAAAAGAATGTTGGTCAGTGGTTGCTGAAATGCTTCCAAGTTGCCCAAAGCACTGTTGGAAGGAATACACTGGAATATCCTACAGGACCTGTGGTCTTGACCAATGCTCCCTCTAAGATGTGGCGTCTTGTGAGCAAAAATTCTACTTTGTGAGCTACCGGCATTTAAAGTCGTGAACGAGCAAATTGGCTGCTGCATAAATGAGTTTACTCTGGAGCCATCCTTCTTGAGCTAAGACAAAAATGTGTGAGCCAGAGGCTAAAAAACTGTGAGCTAGCTCACACTAACTCAGCTTAGAGGGAACACTGGTCTTGACCCATTATTTCTGTTCTTATTATTGTAACATAAACATTTCATCTATGTTTTAATATGTGAAGTTCTCCCTCATTTTCTGAAGTTCTCCCTCATTTTCTGAAGTTCTCCCTCATTTTCTGAAGCCATGCTGGGGATAGCTACACAACACCTGAGCACTATTGATAAAGTGAACCCACTGTTTACAAAAGCCAGCTCCATCTACATTTCCCTCTGCTACTAGGAAATATCCAGGCAATAGCTCTGAGTAGGGAGTTAAAGGCTTTAGCTGAGGGAAGCAACCATAGCTAATTTACTTCACCCCAATATAAACATCAACAAATCCCTCCTACAGTGGTTCCTGAGGGGCAAAAGGAAAAACAGTTCTTCCTTCCCTTCTGAAGCAGCTGCCAGGGGAAGGAAGATATTAGAATTGTATTTGGAGCACATCTTTTAGCATTTCAAATCCATCTTCTAAACTGACAAGCTGAAGCTTCCTTTCTCTTTCAAAGCAAGGAGTGGGGAGAAGCGGGATTTATTCAACACACACACTCTCTGTAAGTCTTTAACTGTTGATCAGCATTAAACCAGAAAAATAATAAAAATAATTATTTCAAAACAAAATTAATCCAGAATTTACCTATTAATCTGCATTATCCATTGTTATACACCCCATCCACAACTTACCGTTAGTTTAGCATCAGTCCCAAGCATATAATTCTGATGTTTTCCTGACAACTCTCTGTTGATATGACTAACAACAAAGAGGGATGCAGGCAGCCTTATGGAAGGGCTGACTAGGACACTCCCCCACAGTGCTGAATAGAACACCTCTTTACCAATTAGAAGAGACAACTTCACAAGTAAAGCATCTGTTCTGTTAATTAAGAAGAAAAATATAAAATTTTCTATAGCTAACTTAATAAGTAAACATTCTACATGAAAAATCAAATGCTTGCATACATATATTATTTTATATAAATATATCTGATGCTGTTAGATTCCACTAATGCTGAAATTTTAAAAAACCTGTTAAGTAATTCAACCATTTTAAATGTACTACCATTCTTCACTTCACCAAAAAGAGCTGGCTCCCATATGAATGCAGAATTAGAGTTAACTTTAATTTTCTAGAAAATTAATTCTACAATTTTCCTGTTGTTATCCTGTTAATTTCTCAGAAATACGACAATCAGTTAATAAATCACAGGACAACTGTTAGGTGAGAACTGAGCAATATCACATCAGTGAGCTCCCGTCTCTAGTTCCAGCTCCTGCCAACCTAGCAGTTCGAAAGCAAGGAATTGCAAGTAGATAAATAGGTACCACTTTGGTAGGAAGGTAACAGCGTTCCGTGAGCCTTGGTGTTTAGTCATGCCAGCCACATGACCACGAAAACGTCTTTGGACAGCCCTGGCTTTTCGGCTTTGAAACGGAGATGAGCACCGCAACCCTAGAGTCGGATTCGACTGGCTTTCGAGCAAGGGAACCTTTACCTTTAGAGCAAAGAATCAAGCCATACTTCCCAAATTCCCGACAGAGTTGACTGATACATGGAGAACAGAAATGTAAAAGCAGTGTATCTCTTGTTTCTGATGCAAATACAGGCATTCACATCAGCGTAGGCTTGCCAAGTCCCCCCGGGGGGGCGGGGAAACCCCCGCCCCAGAGGCCCGTTACCCTCGTGCGGCGGATCGTGCCCCGGGGGGAACCCCACCCCCAAAGCACGCGACGTGTACGTCGCCCGGAGGTGACACGATCGCGTTGGGCACGTTGGGGGCGGGGCCACGGTCATCCGAGGGAAAACTCTATGGTTTTCCGTCGGATGGTCGTGGCCCCGTCCCCAGCGTGGTCGCGTCACTTCTGGGTGACGGGGTTGCACTCCCGGACTGGCGCTGGAGTCCCCCGCTCCAGCGCCGATCCGACTTGGCAACCCTACATCAGTGACAGAACACCCACCCAGCAATTTAACACTGCACTTTCTTTGCCTGATGGTCACCATTCCCCCTTCTCCCATTTCCCATTCTGCCAGAGAGCATTTTTCTTTTTAAAAAGGCAATTGCTAGATCACTATAGTATCAACAATACATTGCCATGGTCTACCAGTTCCTCTGAAATCCCAGCTTCTATTGTCTTTCAAGGGTCTCTAGACACTGGGTTGCAGAGATACAAGAGAAAGCTAAAAAAAAGGGGCTGACTTTTAAAAAATAAAAGTAAAAATGCAGAGGAGCTAGTGGATCGTGGCAATAGACTGCTGTAATGCCTTACCTATTTAGTACTTTCAATTTTCTTAAAAAGCCAAAAATAGTCCTCTGGTGGCTAAAAGGGGCCGAGGAAATGAAAACTGTCAATGCGAATTGGATTATGGATAATATGCACATTCCTGTCCAAAAGCAGGTTTGGGGGAAACTGCACTATGAATGACAAAACTATACAGCTGTAAGGATTCCAGGGAAAAATACATGATGCAAAACCTTAAGAGACAACATGAATGCCAAATATTACTTCAACATGCCTCTGCAAGCATAAGATTACAGAAAAACAATTTAAACAAGACTGAGGGAAAAAAACACCTTGTCAAGACCTTGGAGACCTACTTCCTATTACTGAGAGCCAGCATGGCTGAAGGTCACCCAGCAAGCTTCATGTGGAGGAGTGGGGAATTTGATTCCCTAGTCCTCCATATGTTTCATTCCCTGCTCCTCCATGTGAAGCCTGCTAGGTGGCCTTTGGCCAATCACAGTTCTCTCAAGACTCTCTCAGCCCCACCTACCTCACAAGATGACTATTCTGGGGAGAGGAAGAGAAGGCGATTGTGAACCTCATTGAGACTCTTTAGGACAGAGAAAAGTGGGGTATAAAAACCAACTCTTCTTCTTCTACTACTGCAACTGGGAAAAGACTTGGCTGTTTCAGAGGCTCCTGCTACTACAGCATGTTTTTATTATTTATTTATTTATTACATTTGTATCCCGCCCTCCCCGCGAACAGGTTCAGGGTGGCTTACATTAGTAGGTACAAGGTACCATAAAATCCACATAAAAACATTTTAAACATTTTAAAACAATCAGGTAATCATAAAGTGCTAGTAGTAATAATCATTTACATATATCCCTCCCTGTTTGCAGGTGGAAGCCCAGGCTTGCTTGCATTTATGATTCTGCAGTCCAATGGTATTTCTGTGGACGCTGCCAGATACTGAAAGAACATTCTAACTCCAAAACTACATGCCCCTGCCCTTCTTGTGTCTATTTCAGTTACTTACACTGTTCTATCACACAAAAGTAATTTATAAGACTTTGAGCACTGCACAAATAAACACAAAGGTGTTAAAACGTAATTTTATTTCCCCCAAAAAAGTATATAATGCCAACCTGTCATAGATTTCTGACCCTTCCTCCAATCCAGGTAGAAGTCCAGTTATGAAGGCTTGAAGACTTGGCAGAAGAGACTTGTGCAGGGGAAGGAAATATTTCTCATATAGACCAAGAAGAACTGGTCTCACTGACATTGCTGCATTTGCCAACAAGGGAAACAAACCTGAGCTGGGGTGGGGAGGGGAGAAAGAAACAGAGAAAATATAATTTTTAAAAGAAAAAAAACTATCACCAAGCAGATAAATTGTATCAAGCTTAATTTCAATCTAGTCTCTTTAAATAGGAAAAAAAAAATCCTTACCTGTATAGGAATAAGTCCCTTGCAAGCCATTTGGTCCCAATAATTTTAAAGATGATCTCATATGTCTCTAGTGCCTTTAAATGCACCCCACTAGGTAAAGCTGGATGCAAACACTGGGACAATCTCTTGCTGATAATCAAGCGTCTTGGTAAAAGGGAGTACTTCAAATTACTTTGAAGAGCCTGTAAAAACAAGCAAAATGCTGAGGGAAGGGTATACTGTAATCGTGTGCTTAGCAGAATATTCCTAATGGAATTTTGGAGAACTGATATAAAGCTACTCTTTTCAAGACATGGATATACCATGACCATGATCATAACCCCATACACAACTACTTTTTAAGTCTTGCCCCCATTTTTAAAAACTAATTACAGGATCGGCAGTCTTAAACAGCTGTTGCTCCTAGTGCTACAACTGGTTTGCTGAAAGACTAGCAGCTTGCAAACACCACATGCTTGCTTTAGAATAAATGAAACACAAGGTGTCACACTGATTCTCAGAAAATGGCTGTGATGCTCCAGCTGAAGCCTGTGCAACACTCAACAGTCCCCCCGTGTGTCAACAAAGCTGGATGAACAGGAGAATAATGTGGCTATGCAGCCCTTGTACACAAGCACATAACTAGAGAGCTAGTTCAATTTACAAATGGCAAGTTTAGCAACAGTTTCAAAGTTATTTTTGTTTTACAAATTTAGACAGGATATCATGGGTTTAGTTAACTTTCAAATATGTACCTAGGCAATATTCTTTTGCTTTACGCCTGATGAATTAAGCTACTATAGACCACCAGTAGTTTGAGGCATTGGTTGGTTACTTTTGCAAGCTAGATTGAACAAGTCACACACATCTGCTTCCCCTCACCCACAGTTTGATGAAAGTCTAACTTCTACAGCAAACACTATTCTTATTAAAACATCATAGGAAAATAAAAGCTAATTTAAGGCAGATGGTCATGTTCTGTCTGTTATGGTGAGAATGCCATGCAGCAATGTATATGGGACTAATACACTAATATGGTGTAAACTAAGGGTGGACAGTAGTTAACAAATATTTACGAAGAGAAGTGCAAACAAAACACTCAAGTGGATCTAGGGTTGCCAGGTCCCCCTGGCAAGGGATGGGGAGCATAACATTGCCAGATCCAGATTGGGAAACTCCTGGTGATCTGGGGATGGAGCCGGGAGTACAAGGACCACAGTGGGGTACAATGCCTCAGAGTCCACCCTCCAAAGCACCCATTTTCTCTAGGAGAACACATCTCTATAGTCTGACCTGTAATTCTGAGAAAACCCCAGGTCCCACCTGGAGGCTGACAACCCTAAATGGATCACTGCAATATCTATCTATATAAAAAAGCCAAGCCGCACTGGCGACAACTTATCTACACTCCCATTGGCCACTGGGGAAGCTGCTTTGGCATGCTATTGACCCATCCCACCAGCTCCTCCATTCTTACACCCCCCACTTTTGATGCATCGCACCTTAGGAGCTGTAGCTCTCAGCTGGCCTTACCGCAACCATAGCAAAGGGAATTAGAACTACAACTCCCAAGCTGGGAGTCCCAAGAGGCCATGGGGCATTATCAGGGAATCAGTTGAAGTGTTTATCAGTTAAACTATTAAATGGGGGTTGGGGGGAAAGGGAAGGCCTGGACATCTCCCTGAATTACAGTTGATCTCCAGACTACAGGTATCAGTCCCCATGGAGAAAATGGTTGCTTTGGAGGGTGAGCTGCATGGCAGTATACCTCACTGAAGTCCTTCAACAAACCTGGCCCTCCCATAAGTATTGCCAACCTCCAGGCGGCACCTGGAGATCCCCAGCTATTACAACTGATCTCCAGATGACTAAGATCAGTTCTTCTGGAGAAAATGGCTGCTTTGGGCAGTGGACTCCATGGCATTATACCCTGCTGCTGAAGTCCCTCTCCACCCCAAACCCTCCTCTCCCCAGGCTCTACTCCTCAAATCTACAGGTATTTCCCAGTCCAGAGTTGCCAACCGTGTACCTGGCTATGGAACCACTTTCCAGTTCCCTGGAACGCAGAAAACATGGCATAGGAGGAGATGCTTTTCAACCTTAGCTGCCACTGCATAGCCCCAAATCAACATAAGTCGGGGTGGACTGAACCGTACCTGTTACCATGCAGCTCTCCTCCCATACTACCCACTTGGGGCAGCAAAATGACTTGAAACAGCCCTGTTTTATAGCTAAGCAGAAGAAAATAAACATGGCTCACCTCCCTCTATTTTCCCCTTCCCTCCGCTGCCCCACCAGCTACAGCCAGGACACTCGTCTGGAGCCTCTTTCTAGAGCTCATTGTATTTCTTCCCACAACGGGCCTTACTCCTAATACTACAATAATCTCTTTCATTGTTTGACCTAATCTCAAGGCTGAATTCAGATGTTATCTAATCACAATTTGTATGAAATAGACTCTAATTCATTAACCTTCCTGCATGTAACTGTCATGGTGAATTGGAGTTAGATAAAGATGGAAAGAATTCAATCCAGCTTCATGCACTAGAGATTGTTGAATGTACATGTAAACACAACAATAATAAACTATATTCCTGCCTTATAGCAGTTCAATTGCAGCTTCTTTAATAGATCAATCAGCCTACATCTCTTATATCCAGTTTTCATATACCTATATCAACTCACATAGATGAATAGTTCTGTATCTGATGAAAGCTTCACATTGACAGAATAGCACCTCTGTTTTATCAGAAAGAGAATATCTGTGCATATGTTAGAAATTAGTTTAGAGCTCCTTATGTATTTTGAACTAACAATAACTTTTCAGCCGTGCTATTTTCTCTAGCATTTGATATAACCCCCCCCCCCCCGCTTGTCATGAAAATGCATGCCACAACGAATTTGTTGGTCTAATACACGACAAGACTTTCATTTCTGTAGAAATTAAAATTATGCTAAATCCTGGGGGGAAAAACAAGGAACTTTTTTCCAGCCCTTCTCAGAAGAATGTGTGTTCTAGTTTTAACATACATCTTGAAAACAAAGAGGCAGCAAACAGTAGAGCTAACACTAGCTATTAAATGCATACAAGAGTGTATGATATTTGCATTGAAAACGACCTGAGACCTTAGTATTGTGCTAAGGGTGGAGATTTGGACACCCAGTCTGAAAAGGTCCTTCCTGCATTTATAACAATGAATGTCAACCTGGTCACCAACAAACTGTACTAAATGTAGAACATTTCAGTTGGAGCAAACATTTTGAGGAACAATGATACAAGAATGTAGTCTCACCACAGCCTTCTTTTCCCAGAGACCAATGTTCTAGTACAGAAAGAAGTTAGGAGCATACATTGTTCAACTCATCAATTAGCACAACACGCTAGGCTGGGCCTATTCTGCTACAATGTCAACACTGTGAACTACACACAAGCACCACTGTTCTGTGGACATTTTTGAATTACATCATCAGATTTAATTAAGACAAATTATAACTATTAACATTAATAGCACATTTAACATCTTGAAAATCAGCATGTGCTACACAGAATAAGACACAAGAAACCAAGGCATGCAACTTGTTCCAATCAAACTGAGAAAAAAGGTAAAATCACACATTTAAACAGGAGAGTACCACGTGGCTGTTCTGTTTGACACAGATATAATAATAGCCTCATATAACAATTTCAGATAATTTGCAAGGAACCCACCAAATTTATGTATGGCAAATACAGATGTTCTGAACAAAGTACATTCAATGGAATAAAGTAAAAGGTGACTTGGTATTCTGAAGTTTTCCATTCATGTTCTCTAGACTGATTCCTCTTAACTTCAGTTTCATCTATGGATAAGAAGGCCTAAAGTAGGTATCACATAGCAGATGAGTTTACTAGTCTCCCATTTTTAAAAAATGAAAAACATTAGCAGGAGTTTGTGAGATGAGCAGAAAAACAATTGGGATGTGGGTGCTACCCTTTCTTCTCTGAAAGAAGGGTGTACTGAGCAGAAAAACAGCCAAAGGGTCATCCCTATTTCTACTGTTCCACCACTTAACTTGTAGCCTCTGTGACAGGCTTGTTGTTTAAAATGCCATGCCTATCAGGAGATTGTGTCATGCACATGTAATACATAGTTTGGCCCTGACAGATATCCATTGTGTGTTTTCACCTTAACTGAAAGGAAACAAGCAGGGGATCCAGAATAAACTGCAAGGGGCACTACTTTCCCCTCCCCCCTGTTTCCCTTCCATGGAAGCCAACATAGCCTCTCCCTGGCTCCAGCTTTCTCTCTCCTTACCATCCACCAGCCAACCTACCTGTAACTGCTACCCCCCTTCAGCCTTCCCTCCATCCCTCTACCTGGCAGCCTCTCCCTGGCAAAAGAAGAGAAGGAGTTTGGACTTATACCACGCCCTTCATTCGGCGTCTCAAAGTGGCTCACAACCTCCTTTCCCTTCCCCTCCCCAAAACAGACACCCTGAGAGGAAGGTGGGGTTGAGAGAGCTCTTTCAAGAACTGCACTTTTAAGAACAGCTCTGACAGAACTATGGCTTGCCCAAGGACATCCAGCAGCTGCAAGTGGAGGAGTGGGGCAATAATCTGGTTCTCCCAGATTAGAGTCCGTGCACTTAACCACTACACCAAACCCTGCAAAGTTCTGACTACCAGGCTGGGCTGGATCCAGTTGTAATGTGAGGAATTTGCAAGGAATTGCAGGGGAATTTCAATTTCCCCCGTACCCCCCTCTCCATATTATTTCCTCTTCCCATCCTCCTGACAAACCCCCATATCCTCTCTTTTTTCTGCTTCCCTTCCACCTACATAACTTTTATCTGCCCCCATCTTCAGCTACATTTACTTATTTCATTTATGCTCTGCCTTTCTCCAAAATGGGGCCCAAAAGCAGCTTTATTATTCTCCTCTCATCATAACCTCCAGTGAAGGAGGTTAGACTGAACTTGTGTGATTACCACAAGGTCATTACATGAGAGGATTTGAATCTGGGTCTCCCAAATCCTAGTCTGAAACTAACTACTACACCACACTGGCGGCAGTGGGGTGGTGGCACTGTTGAACAGTAGCAAGCAGTCAAGCAAGTCAGGTGATAACAACTCACCAGGTAGTTACTGGCAGGCCTGGCCCTGATGAGTCTTTCCTCAAAAGCCAAAACAGCCCTGGAAAGGGCTCTGCTCCCTCCCCCCTGAC